AACCGGGGCCTACCTTGAGGTGATTCCGGGGCTCAGCGACCCCGTGGCCCGGTCATCGACCAGGCCTCCTCGTTGCTGGACTGGTCAACCAGGCTGTTGGACGCGGCTGCTCGCAGCCTGATGTATGAATCACAGCCTGGTTGATCAGGTATCCTTTGGAGATGTTTGTCAAGTTCTCTCTTGAACACTGTGAGGGCAGCCGGAAACGCAGGAGAAAAAGAGGCCCACTGGTTAGACCCCGACACTACGGCTGGAGGAAGGGGGCCGTAATGCCTCTGTCGCTTCCCCAGAAGAGGCAACCCCTGAAACTGCCCGAGCCTCAGAAACCTCTAGACCCCTCCCTGACTTCGAAGCCCTCAGACGCTTCGGAGCCGGAAGCAAAAGATGGGGGGGCAGAATGAACCACGGCAGGGGAAGAACGAGGGGGTGCAGACTGAACTAAGGTCAAAGTGACCAACACCCCCCCAAGTCCGGGACCCTATAAGCAAAGCGGGACAGCCTCGAGGCATCTGGGGAGGCAACCGACTGAGAGCGTTGCAGCAACCGAAACCTAGCATGCAACGCCTGAGCTGCCTGCACCCGAATAAAGTCATCATCAGATTGGGTGAATTGAGTCACAAACAAGTAACAGTGCTCACAGGACTCAGGGTCGAAGGTGTCACCGACCCAACAGGCAGCATGATGGAGGCAAAAACAATGAGTGTCGCCCTGATACAAGGACACAGAGCAACCCTCAAACTCGCAAAAGGTGAAAGGAGACCCCAGGGTCGCATCCATCGGACCCGAGCAACTCGGCAGGGATTCCCAGGGGGCCCCAAGACTGGTATCGCTAAGGGTAAGCCCAGGCAGGGTACTGCTAACTAGTGCCCAAGTCTACCAAACTGCTAAACTGAACCCCCGGGATGTATCCACTCAAAGGAGCAAAGCAGGGGTACTACCGAACACAGGAGGTCAACACCCTAACTAAACAGGGACAAGGGACACAAAGGCTAACCCCCCTACCAGGCCAAAATAAAAAGAAAAGAAAAACCCCACAAGAGGATAATGTACCCAGGAGGAACAGAGCCGGCCACTGTAATAGGTGAAAACTAGCTGCAAAGTACTGCGTGCCCCACCAGTGCAATGTCAATTACCAAGCAGCAAAAGACCATAGAGGTAGACCCCAAGGCAACTTGTGGAAGAGAACCCCAAGCCCCAAGGGCTGTACTTACAGGGCACTTAGGGAAGACAACCCTAAGCACATGCAGCCCGAGTACCTGCGAATATCACTCCCAGCTCGCACACCACCGTAAGAGCAGCACTGAACACCAAGCACAGCACAGCAAGAGAACTGGAGCTGGAGCCATCCGACCGTGCCTAATCACACCAGCCTAAGAACTAGTGGTTAGATCGCCGGAGTGGTGGATCTAGGGCTCCCCCTACCCCACTCCCAGGGAGGGGGAAGCTGCGCAGACAAGCGGCGTGTGACATCATGCTTGATTGCTCGTTTTCATTTGGGGAGTTCTGTCCACTCGTTTGGCTATTTTCTTTGTTTTAACCAGAATAGGGGTTTGTTTTGAGGCGCTTACCTTTCTGGGTGCCTGTCCCAGTCGATGGCAGATATAGAATGCTCCAAATCACATGTGCATTTCTATAGACCATTGCTCCTCGTGCCTCTCTGAGGGGGCCAGGTTCTGGCTCGTGGTCCCCAGTAGGCCTAGAACTCCATCCACACTGACTGATGCCAAAGGTTAGGGATATACATATCAGCCTGGATAGCTCCGGGGAGCTGAAGGGGCTCCCCCCAGAAAAAACAATGAAGAAATATTACTTGATTTAACCCAATAAGATACTTCTACTTGCTTTTGTAGCCCATAAATTATCTGTTCAACAGTAATATCTTGAATGAATAAAACCTGGTAGTAAATATGCCAAAAGGGACACAAAGCCATAAGTAATAATGTACATTCAGATAGCAGAACACAGTAAATGTAGCTATAGTCAGGAAAATAATAAGGTGAAACGAGAGATCGATAAAACTAAGGTATGCAATATAAATTGATGACACTTTAAATCCTTATATGTTAACACTTTGCGCGGCCTGGTATGCCCCCCCCCTCCCAAGGTTGGCCTGGCATTTCCTGTGAGCACGCACCCGCACTAAAATGTATAATCTTTTCAGTTTTCTCGCCTCAATTTTCATGTTATGTCATTCATTTTGGTATCAAATTGTTCACAATAGAATTCTCTAAAAGGATATATACATATAAGGTAAAAAAGCCACCATGTCCCATCACAGCATACCCGAAAATCGACCGAGCATTACCCATGAATGAGAAACCACACAAAAATATGCATACTCTTTTCAGTTTTTTCAACTCAATTTTCACGCTATGTCATTCATTTTTACATCAAATTGTTCACAATAGAATTCTCTAAAGGGATATATGCATATAAGGTCAAATGACCTAATGCACCACCCACAGCACACACCCCAAGTTCGGCTGAGTTTTACACGTAAGCACGCACCGACCATCTGCACTCAAATGTTTATACTCTTTCCAGTTTTGTTACTGTAATTTTTGTACCAAGTCGTTCATTTTGGTATCAAATTGTTCACAATCGAAAGGAGCACATTATAGAACTAGTCTCATAATAATCAAACAATAAATGGAATATTAACAAATATTTTTATTTTGGACGCTCATCACCACACAAGTATTTATAATGTTTCCAGTGTTGACCTCAATTGTCATGCTACATCATTCATTTTGATATCAAATTGTTCGCAATCTAGAGGTGCACATTTTAAAACTAGTCTCATAATGATCAGAAAATAAATAGAATTTTAACAAATATAAAAATTTTGGACACAACATGCGTCCCCACCCGCCATCCGTAGTCATTTATGGACTCAATATCTGTCCCCGCCTGCCGAAAGTGTTAAGACTGCCAGATCCTTTTCACAATCAGATAAACCATTTTACTATTGTTAATCAGATATCTGATCCTTCTAAGTATTTTCTTTTCCTGTGCATATTAATCTCTTCTGTAGAACAGTGTCAAAAGCCTTAATAAAGTCTAGGTATACAGTGTTTAGAAGTCTTTAATCAATCACCTCAAATATGCATGAAAAGACCCAAAGCAAATTAATCTGCTCTCTTAGTAAGACAAATAAACCAAAGAGGAGTCAGAATCCAAGAGTACCGGGAATCAGAACTCTGGCTAAAGTTTTAGGCAAATTGACTATACAGTATGTCATGTTGCATTGTTTAGAAAATGTTTTCTGAATCAGTATCCAACTTCAAATAAAACCACTTCATTTATCATTTTATTTAATATAGGTTAACATTGTTTTGTATTTACAAACCAATAGTATGTAAACAAATGTCAATGCTATTATGTTAAATTTATGTGTAACTAGATTGGGTGCTTGGCTGTTCCATGGTCTCTTCCTCCTGCATGTCCTTTCTCTTCCAATCTCCCTCCTCTCTCATCTCTCTTCCCATGTCCCTTCCCCTTTCCTTCCTTCCTCCCTCCTCTTCCTTCCCCAACTCTCTCTCTCAGAAAAGTTTACATTATGAAGTACTGAAAAACTGCTAAAGACTCTGCAGATAGCACATCTCCAATTTCAGACGATGAAACTCACAGGAGGGTCCCTACAATGTCAATATTTCTTAAAAGGTGGTACTGGGGGCCAACCCCGACTACCCTATGACACTCATATACCTCCACGTGTCATCTTAGAAAGTTGGGTGAAGCTAGCCCCAAACACCTGGCCCCTACTTTTGACAGACACGTTCTATTTTATATAAAACTTAACACTTTCGCGCCCCCTTCGATGGTAAAAAAAAAGCGGTATGTGCGCGGAGCGTTTTTGCTGAGTAAGCGTAAAAACAAAAATGTGTATACTCTTTTTACTCTCCTTACCTTAGTTCTTGAGCTACGTATTTCATTTTGGTACCAACGTGTTCGCAATAAAATTCTCTAGAAGAACATCAGTAAAAAAAGTCACGAAACGTATAGGGATACCAGCACCAAATAAATAACTACGAAGATGACTCGCCGTGAGCGCCCAACAGCAACAAAATGTTTTTACTCTTGGGATTGTTATCACCTCCACACTTGTCCTACAGCGTTAATTTTGGTATCAATGGACTCGCAATGAAATTCCCAACACGGTGATATGAATATAAGCGTAGAATAATGATTGCAGCCCGCCTGCAAGAGTGTGGGAAGTGGTGAAATTGTTACCCAGTATCGGTGACGGGACGACGCACGGCGCTTTGAAAGTTTATACTTATTTCACTCTCATGACATTAATTTTCTATGTACGTCATTCATTTTTGTGTCAATGTGTTCGCAATAGAATGTTCTATGAGCCCATAGGTAAAAAAGATCAACAAAGCGTAAGATAGAATAGCGCCAAATATAAAACAACGCTGGAACATATCAGTGAGCGTCAAACACACACAAAATGTTTTTACTTTTGTTATGTTTGTCAAGTTTATACTTGTTGCACACAGTTATTTTTGGTTGTACATTGATCGGAATAAAATTCCCTAAACAGACATATGCATATAATACATGATATGGGGGAAGCATTACCAGTATAAACGGCTAAAGTCACCCACCTGCAACCCGTTTGGGACATAATACCATTTGATCGAAGTGGTCCACACCTTTCATGAACTTATTGTACCATGCAGCCTAGTGGTGAGAAAGAGAGCCTCATGGCGCGCAGTTTGAAACAAACCCAAAGTAAATCGGATAAAAATTGAATTTTATACAAATATTTTAAAAGAGGACATAACTTTATGTCCACTATGCGGGAGCGGTTAGCGAAACAGGACTCCTCAGTGAGTCCGGTTAGCGCGAAAGTGTTAAAACATTCCACAAGCTCATGCCCTGTAGCAAGATATACTTGATTGTCTAAAAATACATGGAAAGACTATCTTTTCTCACTTAAATGATAAGTGTTAAGTGTAAATAAAATCATTAGTCTAAGGGTTAAGTGGCTGAGTGACACCATTTATCCTTACCCAGCAAATTGGTTGTTTACTTTCTCCTGAGGCACACCCATCTTCTCCAGCAAAGCATTTTTAATGGTCAGTAATTCAACTTCATCTTCACTCCTACGAGTTGGGTCGGGAAGTCGGCCGTGCAGACTAATGAATTCCAGGATTACTAGAAAATAAAACAAAGCCATCGCTATGAAATATAAATAAAGAGGTGGTACAAGAGGCACAAGAGATGGTACCCCTTTTAGGTTTTAATAAAAAAATTATATTATAAAATATATAATATATATATATATATATATATATATATATATATATATATATATGTATATATATATATATATATATATATATATATATATATGTCGTACCTAGTAGCCAGAACTCACTTCTCAGCCTACTATGCAAGGCCCGATTTGCCTAATAAGCCTAGTTTTCATGAATTAATGTTTTTTCGACTACCTAACATACCTAACCTAACCTAACCTAAAGTTTTCGGCAACCTAACCTAACCTATAAAGATAGGTTAGGTTAGGTTAGGTAGGGTTGGTTAGGTTCGGTCATATATCTACGTTAATTTTAACTCCAATAAAAAAAATTGACCTCATACATAATGAAATGGGTAGCTTTATCATTTCATAAGAAAAAAAATTAGAGAAAATATATTAATTCAGTAAAACTTGGCTTATTAGGCAAAATGGACCTTGCATAGTAGGCTGAGAAGTGAGTTCTGGCTACTAGGTACGACATATATATATATATATATATATATATATATATATATATATATATATATATATATATATATATATATATATATATATATATATATATATATATATATATATATATATATATATATTATATATATATATATATATATATATATATATATATATATATATATATATATATATATATATATATATATATATATATATATATATATATATATATATATATATATATATATATATATATATATATATATATATATATATATATATATATATATATATATATATATATATATATATATATATATATATATATATATATATATATATATATATATATATATATATATATATATATATATATATATATATATATATATATATATATATATATATATATATATATATATATATATATATATATATATATATATATTATATATATATATATATTATATATATATATATTATATATATATATATATATATATATATATATATATATATATATATATATATATATATATATATATATATATATATATATATATATATATATATATATATATATATATATATATATATATATATATATATATATATATATATATATATATATATATATATATATATATATATATATATATATATATATATATATATATATATATATATATATATATATATATATATATATATATATACAGTGGTACCTCCCATAACGAATTTAATCCGTTCCATGTTCGTCATGTGAAACGGACGTCATACAAAACGAGTGTCCCCCATGTAACCAGTGTGATGCACTGTGTTTATTGTGAAATTTCCCTAGTGTGCATGACATCAAATGTTCCCCAAAATATAATTTTTCTTTGTAAAATGATAAATTACCGTCCCTGAACATGTCTATGTAAAAATAATTACCAAATTCCACTTACTTTGGCTGTGAGGGCGTGGACAAGGTGCGCTGTGACGTCATCAGGGGCTGGTCGCCCGTGTGTGAAGCTCCCAGACACGGTCGCGCAGGCCATTCAAGCACCGCGTGTTGCCACAAATATATTTTCAAATATTTTTCCTATGCATTTCCAATGCGGTTTTATTTGTTTCTTTTATCGTATATGATGCATATTTGTGACCTTTACAATATGTATACAGTAGAATGTTCATAATTTTCCATGAAACTGTGATACATGTGTCAGTAATGTGTCCACAATAAATGTTTATTGTCACAATATTACGTGGTAAAAATTCACTAATATTACAATATGTACAGTTTCACATACTATTTACACAGTAACACACTGTATTACACACTCAGTACTTTGGAGGTGCATAATAGTCAACGAAGTAGTCCATGGTACACAGCGCGACTTTGCTCTCCTTGCACCAGCTACAGATAGATTTTTGTTTCCTGTTTCATCGTTCTGTGTGCTTGCAAATAATGCACTCGCGTGCACCCTTGGCTTTAGTACTTGTAGGTGGTATGTAGCCAAGCTTGTAAAGCATAAAGTAGTATTGAAACGATTATAGGAAAAGCTCAATTTGTAAGGTAGTCTTGAAAAGATCGCTTTGTAAGGTCCCACACAGGAAGAGATTCAGCTAGCCTCAAAGAGTGTCCATCAGTCAGGAAGAGATTCAGCTAGCCTCAAAGAGTGTCCATCAGTCAGGAAAAGATTCAGGTATTCTTAAAAATATCAATGAACACCACCACCATGGAAGCCGCTAACACTGTTCATCTATGCTACTTGTATCAGATGCATCATCACTGAACGCAGAAAACGATTCATCTATGTATCATCTATATACATTAGAGATGGCAAGGGTGGGGCTCAGAGCTACACCTGGATACGCTCGCTGTATCATCCTCATAGGTGCTGTATCACAGGCATCCGACCGTTGTGTTAAGCCCTTATTGCGCCTAGCTTCACCAATGTTATGACCCTTATGTTCTTCAAACAATAGGGTCTGAATTGCACTGACTGAGTACAGTCTTTCAACACCGTGTGGGACAGGTGTTTGAGAGCCAGAGGCATGTGTGCTACAAACGGTTGCTCACGCACTACTAACCCAGCCAGCAGCCCTTGTCTTTCATATTCGTTATAGCAAAAGGTTCGTTCAGTGTTTGTTGGGTAGGCTGCTCCATTATGACAATCTTTCTTTGTTTCAAATGTGTTCCATTTGTTTTGTATTTATCACTTACGTCTCAATAATGGAGCAGCCTACCCGACAAACACTGAACGAACCTTTATGACATTTGTCCATTTTTCAAATTGTTTCAACAGTTCTTTTATTTTTCGTTTTTTTTTTTTTTTTTTTTTTTTTAGAAACATGGAGCAGTCGACCTGTAGACCACCGAACGAACCTTTTTGACATTTGTACTGGTTTTCAAAATTCTTCATTTTTTTTATTATTTACGTTTTTTGTATGTAAGAAACATGGAGCAGCCTACCTGCCGACCACCGAACGAACCTTTTGCTATAAGACAAATGAAAAATAAATATTGAACACATTTGAAGAAAGGAAAATGTCATAATGGTTTATTCAGTGTATGTAAGGTAGGCTTCTCCATTATTGAGACGTAAATGACAAATAAAAAACAAATGGAACACATTTGAAACAAAGAAAGATTGTTATAATGGAGCAGCCTACCTGCCGAACACCGAACGAACTTTTTTGACATTTGTTGTATATCAGATATTTCATTTCTTTTTTCCTACAAAAACGTCAATGCTTTGCAACATCTCAGCAGTCACCCTTTTATATCCCAGCATCATTAGCATCTTTAAACAAGAACAACATAATTTATGTGCATCGTCGGAGGCGTCTAAGAATGTGCAAGCAGCAGCGCGACCCCACCATGTTGTGTTGACGTTACTCAAACCAGCGTTCGTCATACGGGACGATTTGACGCCGATCGGGCCGTTCGTTACCCAAAATATTCGTCTTTTGGGGCAATCGTTATGCGAGGTACCACTGTATATATATATATATATATATATATATATATATATATATATATAGAACCTTTATGACATTTGTCCATTTTTCAAATTGTTTCAACAGTTCTTTTATTTTTCTATATATATATTTATATATATATATATATATATATATATATATATATGCGAACAAGCCTGAATGGTCCCCAGGACAATATGCAACTGAAAACTCACACCCCAGAAGTGACTCGAACCCATACTCCCAGGAGCCACGCAACTGGTATGTACAAGACGCCTTAATCCACTTGACCATCACGACCGGACAAAATGAGGTGATAGCCGAGGCTATTTGAACCACCCCACCGCCGGCACTCGGATAGTAATCTTGGGCATAGCATTTTACCAAATCACCTCATTCTTTGGGGCACACGTGAGGAACACAAATGCGAACAAGCCTGAATGGTCCCCAGGACAATATGCAACTGAAAACTCACACCCCAGAAGTGACTCGAACCCATACTCCCAGGAGCCACGCAACTGGTATGTACAAGACGCCTTAATCCACTTGACCATCACGACCAGACAAAATGAGGTGATAGCCGAGGCTATTTGAACCACCCCACCGCCGGCACTCGGATAGTAATCTTGGGCATAGCATTTTACCAAATCACCTCATTCTTTGGGGCACACGTGAGGAACACAAATGCGAACAAGCCTGAATGGTCCCCAGGACAATATGCAACTGAAAACTCACACCCCAGAAGTGACTCGAACCTCATTTTGTCCGGTCGTGATGGTCAAGTGGATTAAGGCGTCTTGTACATACCAGTTGCGTGGCTCCTGGGAGTATGGGTTCGAGTCACTTCTGGGGTGTGAGTTTTCAGTTGCATATTGTCCTGGGGACCATTCAGGCTTGTTCGCATTTGTGTTCCTCACGTGTGCCCCAAAGAATGAGGTGATTTGGTAAAATGCTATGCCCAAGATTACTATCCGAGTGCCGGCGGTGGGGTGGTTCAAATAGCCTCGGCTATCACCTCATTTTGTCCGGTCGTGATGGTCAAGTGGATTAAGGCGTCTTGTACATACCAGTTGCGTGGCTCCTGGGAGTATGGGTTCGAGTCACTTCTGGGGTGTGAGTTTTCAGTTGCATATTGTCCTGGGGACCATTCAGGCTTGTTCGCATTTGTGTTCCTCACGTGTGCCCCAAAGAATGAGGTGATTTGGTAAAATGCTATGCCCAAGATTACTATCCGAGTGCCGGCGGTGGGGTGGTTCAAATAGCCTCGGCTATCACCTCATTTTGTCCGGTCGTGATGGTCAAGTGGATTAAGGCGTCTTGTACATACCAGTTGCGTGGCTCCTGGGAGTATGGGTTCGAGTCACTTCTGGGGTGTGAGTTTTCAGTTATATATATATATATATATATATATATATATATATATTTATATAGTGACGGGAAAAGTAGGTGTTCGTGCAGTCTCTAGGCAGATGGAACACAAATGCGAACAAGACGGGGAGCCGGTCAGCCGAATGGACAGCACGCTGGACTTGTGATCCTGTGGTCCTGGGTTCGATCCCAGGTAAAAAACCAGCGTTGAATGTAATGAAACGCCATTTTCTGGGTGAGTCCCGGAGGCTCCCCGGAGCTATCCCAGGCTGATATGCTAATGTCAGACTTTGGCATCAGTCATGTGTATGGAGTTCTTAGGCCTACCGGGGACCACGGCCAGAACCAGGCCCCCTCAGAGAGGCAAGGGGAGCAATGGCCTATAGAAGCCCCCGTGTAGTTGGAAGCATTCTATATCTGCCATCGACCGGAACAGGCACCCAGAAAGGTAAGCGCCCCAAAACAAACCCCTATTCTGGTTAAAATTGCTACCTAAAACCGAACTAGTGGATAGAACTCCCCAACCGAAAACAAGCAAATTAGTGTGACGTCACACACTGCCGCGCCGCTGTCTGCGCAGCTCCCCCCTCCCCGGGAGGGGGAAGGGGGAGCCCCAGACCCCCCGCGCCGGCTACCCACACCTCAGTTCTTGAGGCTGGATGTCAAAAACGCGAAAAAACGCCGACCGGAGGGAGGGAGGGATGCCGGGGAGCCTCCGGGACTCACCCAGAAAATGGCGTTTCATTACATTCAACGCTGGTTTTCTGGGGGGAGCCCCGTCGGCTCCCCGGAGCTAACTACCCACAGACAGAAAAAGAGGGACTTACCCGGGAGGCGGTCGTCGCTCACCCCTCAACTCGAAGCCGAGACAACTGGCTGCAACCGCCGACCCAAAGCAACACAGGCCCGACGAGGGCCAGGGACATTCACAAGGTAACGAGCAGCCAGGACCCTGTTCGACCGCCAAAATCCCCGCGCCCGAATATCAGACCAAGACATATTCCCAAAGACGGCAGCAAGAGCCGCGAACTTACGAACGTCATGGGCACGGGGATAGACCGCAGGCTGGCTAGACCTAATAACCCTGCGGACGACCTGAGAGACCCGAACCCGCGAACAGGGAAGAAGGGAAACCGGATCAACCCACAGCGCGTCCCCGGACACAGAAGCTGTGGCGCGCAAATAACGGCGAAGCGCCGCAACCGGACACAAAACATGATGCACCCCCGGCCTGACCAACCAAGCATCAACCACCCATGGACCCCTCCGGAACGCAGCAGTCTCATTCTTCGCCAGAAAAGAAGGAGACGGCTGCAAACGAACAAAACTATCACCACGACCAAAAGAGCAGAAACCCCTGCGCCGGAGGAGAGCATGAAGCTCCCCTACCCGACCCCCAGAGGCCAAAGCCAACAAGAAAAGTGCCTTGGAAAAACAATCCTGGACCGAAGGGGCCACAACGAAACGAGGAGATGAAAGGAAAGCGAGCACTCTGTCCAAAGACCAGGACGGCTCAGGCGACGCATGAGCAGGCCGGAGGTGAAACAATGCACGAGACAGCTTGCGAAACGGCGCAGACGTAACATCGATACCGAAAGCAAGCTGAAGCGGCTCCGCCAGCGCCGCACGATACGAAGCGACAGTGTTAGGCATAAGATGACGGTCCTGAAACAACCACGAGAGGAAGGACAAGACCACCCGAACAGACAAGGAGCTAACACGACGAAGACGCAAAAAGAAACGGAAGGACCGCCAGGAAACTTCATACTGCCGCCGAGAAGAAGCCCTCAGGTGGGACACCAACAAGGAGGCCACCTGATCACCATAGAGATGATGATAGACTCGAGTCAAAAAAACCATACGCGAAGACTCGAGGAGAAGATCGAACCAGCTACGTGACGTACCGGCCCGATCTGCTGAAAGAGGCGGAGCCGCGGGAAAACCCTCGGGTTCGGACACCGAGCAACCAGCGCCTGAAACCAAGGCTGGGCCGGCCACCAAGGGGCCAGAAGGACAACTCTCCCCCGGTAAGTCTCTAAGCGAGTCAGGACCTGGAGCAACAGCCGAACTGGGGGAAAGAGGTACAGGAACCCCCACCTCGACCAGTCGAGCCGAAAGGCATCGACCCCGACGGCCTCGAATCGGGGAAGGGCGCCGCATAAACGGGAAGACGCCGCGACCACAGATAACTCCTCTCTCGCACCCACAAAACTAACACCACACTGGGAAGAACACCACGAGCGTAGCTCTCATCCTGTAACTACACTTAGGTAATTACACTTAAACGCACAGGAGTAGCGACACCGGAGCCAGCACACGACCATCGCCTATAGCATCAGCCTCAAGAACTGAGGTGTGGGTAGCCGGCGCGGGGGGTCTGGGGCTCCCCCTTCCCCCTCCCGGGGAGGGGGGAGCTGCGCAGACAGCGGCGCGGCAGTGTGTGACGTCACACTAATTTGCTTGTTTTCGGTTGGGGAGTTCTATCCACTAGTTCGGTATTAGGTAGCAATTTTAACCAGAATAGGGGTTTGTTTTGGGGCGCTTACCTTTCTGGGTGCCTGTTCCGGTCGATGGCAGACATAGAATGCTTCCAACTACACGGGGGCTTCTATAGGCCATTGCTCCCCTTGCCTCTCTGAGGGGGCCCGGTTCTGGCCGTGGTCCCCGGTAGGCCTAAGAACTCCATACACATGACTGATGCCAAAGTCTGACATTAGCATATCAGCCTGGGATAGCTCCGGGGAGCCGACGGGGCTCCCCCCAGAAAGCATTATAAAGTATGCTGGAGATGTCCTTTTCAGCTGAGAGGCATACTTTTTTGAAGACCAATCTACATCCAGCGCTTGACTTAAAGGAACGAATGTTTCTGTGTGCTTCACCATCTTTGTCTCCTCAACAGTCTGCTTCTTACCATCTTGCTCGATTTCCTTTCTCTTTTTCACCTCTCTGGAAGACATTGACAAAAAGGTATTAAATCCCACCCCACTGTCAGAAACAAAGCCTAAACAGGTACAGTACTGTGCTTAAGATTTATATCGAGGTCCTTTAGGCCAACTGGTGACCATCCCCAGGATGCAACCTACAACAGTTGCCTTACATGTAGGTACTATTTACTGCTATGTGAAAAAGCATCAGGTAAAAGGAAACGTGTCCTACTATTTGTCCCGTCTAGGGATCGAACCTGGGATTCTTTATTGCAAGTCGAGAATATAGACCACTGTACTGAACCCCTGCAACTTCTAATTGAACAGCAATTGAGGAACAGGATGGTTAACCACTATGCTGCACCAACCGAGAAAACTCGGTCGGTGGGAAACTGTGCCAACCGAGAAAACACCTTTTAAATATTTCGCACCCGTTCAAAACAGGTGCGCTGTAGGTTGTGCACAAAATGAACTCCTGGGACCTTCAGTGAGAGGCAACCATCTTGGAAAAAATTCCCAGAATGTCTTAAGGCTGCTGGCTGGCTTAGTACTGAGTGAACAACCATTGGTGGCACACGCGCCTCTGGCTTCCAAATATTGTACCTGTCTGACACGGTGTTGAAAGATCGCTCTGTCGGTGAAATTCAGACCTTATTGTTTGAACATAAGGGTCATGATATTGATCAAGCTAGGCACAATAAAGACCAAACACAAAGGTCAGATGCAAGTGATACAGCACTGATGAGGACGATATAGTGAGCATATCCAGCTGTAGCTTTGAGCGCCACTCTTATTGTGGACACATTACTGACACATGTATCACAGTTCCATGGAACATTATGAACGTTCTACTGTATACATATCGTAAAGAACGCCAATATGCATCATATACGATAAAAAATAAATAAAACTGCACTGGAAATACATAGAACAAATAATTGAAAATATATTTGTGGCAATTTGCGGTGCTTGAATGGCGCTCGCGACCGCCTCTGGGAGCTTCACGCACGGGCAACCAGCCCATGACGCCCCCTTCTCCACTTCCCCACAGCCAAAGTGAGTGGAATATTTCAAGCATTTTACATGTACATGTTCAGGGAAGGGAATTTATCATTTTACAAAGATAAAAAAAAAAATTGCAAACACTTGATTTTATGTGCACAGGGGGAATGTCACAATAAACGCGGTGCATCACAGTGGTTAAGGACCCAAGGGCATATGGCTAAACTTGCATCTACTTTACGAATACCCAGTATATTAAAGTACTCCACTTTATCACTAAATATTTAGAGAACAATTTTTAACTTACTCAACATATTGATGATCCTTTAAGTCGGTGAACATGTAACCAATCATTCCAAACACATCACCAGCAAAAAATAAAATTTTATTCTTGCGGCAGATGTTGTTGATTCGGAGAAGCTGTTCTCGACGGCAGCGACTCACACACACTACATCAAACTTGGTGAAATATTCATCAGTTTTGTCATCAATATTGCTCGTGTCAGAGGAAACTTCCACCATTGGGTTCAAAATCTGCGCTCTTTCTCGGGATGCCTCAGCTATCTGTAACGATGAAAATTTCTTGTACTGTATTTACCTCCCTAAAATTTCACCTTATTCAGTACAAGTATAAGTTCTTAGATTGACTTCCAAAATTAAAACACAGTCTATCAGTGTTCTCTAATGAGAACCTTGCATTTTGTTTAGTAGTTGCAGTATAGAATATTACTGTAATGAAAAACTTATAGGTGTGAGTCCATAGAAAAATTCTAATAGATTTTTTTAAAGATTCCAAATGCTGCCATATACAGTACAAGGCTAAAAATCAGATCGAGTGAATAGGGAAAGCACTTTTCCAAGCTGTACACTTGGTTACTCTACTGACTTCCCTAAACCTAGATTTTCTGAGCAGCACGTACAGTAAAAATATTTTCGTAGGTGAAGTTAGGTAAGGTTTTGGTCTTTATTATATAGTATTTTAAACTTTTACACATTTCTTCTGGGTGAGTGATTTCAAAGTACAGTACTGTATACTGTACTGTATAAAATTTTATGATGCAAGCACTAAAAAATTTAGATTTTTTCTTGATTAGAATTTATTGGCTTAATTCTCAGTACAAAATCTTATTTGCCATCAATTATTTAACATATATAAACCTACAATATATAAAACAGATGACAATCTTATCAGTGAACTACACTTAGTAACATGATATAATGTTAAGAAAACACATTTTGCTTATAACCATGCTTTTTTAGTTATCATATTTAGCAGTTCATATTCACTTAATAATTATTCATATATGCTGTGATATTATGTCTTTTATAAAATACCATTTTAATACCAAAGAGACATACCCAGGATTTAAAATTAGAGTTAAAGTCTGACAAAGGGTCTTCTTGGTTGCAGACAATTAGCAATTGTTAGCTTCTCTTACTTTTAATGTTCACCACTGCGTATTTACTGTTCTTAATTGACTTAGTCTTCAATATTTAATTTGCCAAAATTGCAATGACAATTTTTATTTGTTTTTCTTAAAATATATATTTAATATGAGTTACAGACACAAGTAGAATTTGGGATTATTAATCCCAGGAAAGCAGCTTTAGTAAACTGAGGCAGGTTGGCCCGCGTGACCGGGAACCACGGGCTTGGCTGACCCAAACGTGTACCAACAAATATCGTTAGTTGACGACACTATCGTAAGTCGAGTCACATTTTTCAATCAAATTTACATCGTAACTCGAAATTATTATAAGTCGATGCAATCGTAAGTCGAGGTGCCACTATACATACTATATAGTTGTCACGTCTGTGACAGGAAATTTATCTGGACTTCACTGGTGTGCACTCTGGCACATTTTGCCTGCATACGACTAGGACCTGCTTGTGGCTCACTGCTTGCTTGTCTAAGAATCTGTCGGAAGACATTTGTTTTTCCCTACATTTTAACACTTGGCTGTAGTAAGACATCACATTGTCATTTAAAAGGTCAATGCAACGGCCTGCTACAGCTTTATCTGGGCGAGTTTTTTCAACAAAACTTTGCAGTTCTTCCTATACTTCACACATTTTCTTAATGAAGAAGGGACATCCTCTACTCACAACTATTTTCGTAGGTTGAATCTTACCACTGGCTTTCTTGGGACCCATGGCAAGATATATAATAACAATTTTTATGCTCAAATGGCCAAAAATCCGACAAAAACTGTAAATCCTTGTGAAGAATTCAGGCGGGATAGTCACTGGGCGCGAGGCACTAGTAAACTGAGGCGCGATCGCCGTACCACCACGCACTAGTTGGCCTGTACGCGTATCAACATGCTCGTATTCTGAGACAATGCTCGTATTCCAATGTAAATTTTCCGAGCAAATCCTGCTCGTAATCCGAAAAACTCGTAAACAGGGATGCTCGTATTTCGGGGTACCACTGTATACCGTAGATACAGTATATATATAGCATATATAAACAGTACACTGTATTTTATTAAAATAGCTAATAATTAGAAGAAAAACTTAAATTCTTGAAAACATCATGGCTACTCACATTTTTACCAAGTGCATCATGTGGAACAAGAAAATTTGAGCATGTTTCAATTTCTGTAATTGTGCGATGGTCCAACAAGGTAAGAGATTTTACTCCTGAGAGAACCAAATTTTTTGTGACCTCTGCTCCCATTCCACAAACTCCAGCAACCAATATACGAGAAGTGCGCAATCTGCAATAAAGATGTTTCAATATGTTACTCATAAATTCATGAAGTATAGGCTATACAATGTAAGTAAATAAATTTATATATCCTACTGTCAAAAAAAAAGAAATGCTGACTTAAAAGCAAACCATATAAAACAACATTCAAAAGCAAAGCATGCATCATTGTTCATTTTTATTGTCAAACTTTACATAAAGATTTGTGTCAAAACAAGGTGAATACTTCTTACACGATTAATTTTTAATCAATGCAAATGCCGAGTGGCAGTGCATAAGCCTTCATAATTTGAGTCCAGTCTTAGCCAGGCTCATATTGCAAAGACATGGGACTAGTACACTTTTCAAGGAATGATAACTATCAGAATTTTTTTTTTACATCAGTACAATTGTACTCTGCAGTATCTAGAGAGGATGTGAAGGCATTGGGGTGTAAGGAGTGCAGGAAATGTCAAACCACTCTGACCATAGTGGATTCATTGCTAACCATGCAAGAAGCAAGGCAACCACAGTACTGATCAATGTAAGTGGATGGTCTATACATTCACTTTAAATCTTCAATTTGGTCCAGGTACAATAATGTTATTATTGACTCATCCTAGAAGCCTCTCTTGATGTACATTTGTTCTTGTGTAATTATATTATGCATCTTAATATTACTACACATATAGTGAAGCATTTAAACTATGGGGACTGATTCTAATACTCAACTGTACCACTTGGAATGACAATGAAAGGATATATACATGTCTTAGCAAAATCAATCCTCTATTTGGAGGTCAAGATTATGGAGACTGTAATGGGTAATAAATGGTGTTCTAGAGGAAAGTTATATGTAATTTCCTAAGTGTAGTTACAGGATGAGAGCTACGCTCATGGTGTCCCGTCTTTCCAGCACTCCAGTGAATGTATCACGAATGCATACATGTATCCGACATGTACAGCTCAAGAGGCTAATGATGTTCTGAAAACTAAGAAGCATGCCTGAATGTCTGCACATTTGTAACCATGCATGAAAAGTCTCTTGTATCTTATCTATAGCTAGCACTAGTCTCTATTCATTTATCTATAGCTAGAACTAGTCTCTTCATCAAACCAAAGAACAGAGAACTTTGAATCAAAATGTAATGTCAAGGTAATCTGTTCAACAAGTACTTAACTGTTTAATACTCCTAACTCATCACGTACTCTTTGTTGGTGGGTATGTTACATTAATTGCCGATGCCAAACAAAGGCAATAACCATACTGCTTGTGCATGTTCAGAATGAGTGCTCGCAACCTGTGTGTAAGGGGTGCCCACTGCCCCGTGTGTATGGGGTGCCCACTGCCCAGTGTGTAAGGGGTGCCCACTGCCCCGTGTGTAAGGGGTGCCCACTGCCCTGTAAGGGGTGCCCACTGCCCTGTGTGTAAGGGGTGCCCACTGCCCCGTGTGTAAGGAGTGCCCACTGCCCGTATGCACCCACCGCTTTTGGGCGTCCAGGCCCCACAGCCGGATCTGACGGTCATAGAGAGCGGCCTCATCCTCCGTGATGGTTTCCGCGTGCTTCTCAACCATCTTCAGGTGCGAGTTGCTCATCTAGTGAGCACCTTAACTCGAGGGTGTAGTGTGCTGCTCGTTACCACGGCTGAAGGGGGTCTCTGCCACAGCCTTGTATCACTACCACAGCTCAGCGGTCACACGCCACAAGTCGGCGTCCCGCGCTGGTGTTGTGATGCTGCAACACGAGCCTAATATAAATTCTCATCAGAGCTTATAATCCTCCATAATAGTTCTGGTATATTTCTCTTTTTAGTGTTTTATTTGTATACAAGCATTATTGTCGCAATCTTCAATATGAGGAATATAGGGGATAAGGGGGCAAAAAAATGTCTGAATTTACTTGAGCGCCTTATCTCATTAGTGGCTTCTGCGAGGACAGGAAGCCAGCGTCTTGTTAAAGGTCACCCTCCACCTTCCCCTGATATTGTTAATTTTTTCTGGAGTTTGGACAAAAGTAATATCTTGGTTTTCACAGTCTCAGCGGGTAGGCAGTTCGACAATGAGTTTATAATAACAAGCTGTTGCTCCCTTGTATTTGATCTTTTAAAGAAGTGGTCTGGCTTTATGTCTCCAACTTGTTCAGTATGTAACAAGTTTCCATGAGATGAGCCCTGTTATGTTTGGTCTGCAGTGTTGTTAGTACTGTGGCCCTCAACCGTTACTGGTGTGAGAGTTGGCTTAGTTCTGGGATGAGTTTTGTCGCGCTGATGAACTTTCTCCAAAGCATTTTGTTTTCTTTCAGAATCTGGTGGAACAAAACGCCTTTATATGACCTTTTCTTCATAAAATAATTTGCTGCATAATAGTACTGTTGACATGAGAATTGTATGTAATGTGCGTTGTTATTCCCTACATGCAAGGTCTTCCATTCTTCAATATTGTAAAGAATTTACCATTCATATGACCATTTGTAGAGTTCATGTAGATCTCTCTTTAAGCTAGTCTCGGTATCGTTTTCGCTTCCTACTTTACCATAGATCTTAGTGTCGTCTACAAATTTGATGATGTGGTTTCCAATATTCTCATCAATGTCATTGATGTATGACAAGAAGGGCTGGCCCAAAGATATAACCTTGTGGTACTCTCACCACATTTTTAGTTAGAATCATTTACATTTAGGACGTCCCTTTGGTTTGTTTTGTCCATTTTAGTATTTTACCATTTGTTCAATGAGTTTCTAATTTCCTTACCAGTTTTTATGTGGTACCCTATCAAAAGCTTTAGATAGGGTCTTGTAGGTTTGCTTCCGAAGCAGGATTGCAGGTGTTGCATCCTGGGAAGGGTAAGTCATTTTACCTTGGAGGGGGTGGGGGGCTCTCGATATAAGCCTAAAGTTCAATAGTGACAAATATCCTAGAACTAAGTCGACTCTCACACCAGGAATGGTTGAGGCTAACAGGACTAGCAACACTGCGAACCAGACATAACATGGCTGATTTCATTTAAACTTTTAAAATACTGAACAAGTTAGAGATATTAATTCAGACCACCTCTTTAAATGGTCAAATGTAACACAATTAATTAGCAACAACTTCAAGCTCAACAGGCCACAATGTAGGACAGAAAACAGGATACTTTTCACCCATTTATCTCAATGAGAATATTTATCTGTCCAAGGTTGGAGGCCAAATGCTTGGGGCTAGCCACACCCAATTTTGGAGGAGAAATGGTCTGGGGTATGGGACGGACATAGCTCAATAGGGGTCAGCCCTCTTGGTCCTATTACGAGGGTAAGTAAAATAGTAGGCCCCACTCACTAAATTGGCGAAAGATGGCTGGTCGAGTTTATTCGCAAGAAAATAGAATTAATGATTATTTATACTGTACATTAATAAATGATAAATAAATAAAATAAATATGTTTATTCAGGTAAGGTACATACAAGTGATGTTACATTAATGGATTGATATATAGATAGAGCTAGTACATACAATGCCTAAAGCCACTATTACGCAATGCGTTTCGGGCAGTAAATGTATAAAAAAATTTAAATAGTGCGATTAGTGCAGAGGCAGCGTAGTCGAGGATGGACCGGATTGCATTAGTGTAGAAATTTTCAAATATGATGTATTTAACCCGTCTTATGTCTGGACATAGGTGCCATCGTGTTTGGTACATCTTGTGTACTTGACACTTTTAATTCATTTTAGGGCCATAAATGGCAACACTGACCCACTTTAAGTCTTACAAGTTGGTTGCACATAATTCAATACTCCTCACACAAGAAACTGACATAATCCTTGTGATTGGCTCAATTCATATAGAAGCTCAAAGTAAGAAAGGATCCTAGTACATAGAATAATACAACAAATTAAAATAATCAATATACTGTATTTAGAAGCATTGTAATAAGGAACATACTGTAGTACTATATTACTTCCATGTACAATATATGTACTGTACTGTATTTGGTTTCTCTCTTCGTGTATTTGTATGCACTAATATAGTGCCACAATTTAACAAAATACATCTCGTCACGTTGTCAATATACAGCACAATAAAACTTACCCCATTCACTTCTAATGCTTGCTTAAAGAATTACAATCATTAAAATTTGTATTATTATTATGCATTTACTTTCAAATCTACTATAGTTGCATGTGAATCACAAATATTAAGTTAATACTGTACTCAATAACAATAGCGTTCAATAATTTGTAGTGTCAGTGTAATGTACACATACACACAGCTAACACTGGCAAAATCGACGCCTGAACATACATTTGCAAATACACCAGAATAACAATCTGGTAAGGAAAATATAAGCATTTTTTCTGTTTGTATCATAACACTGTACTGTAACTTTCACACTTTCCAAGGACTGATCTCATAGAAACTTTTAAAATACTGAACAATTTGGAGGATATTGATCCAGGTAACTTCTTGAAAAGTTCAGATGTAACACAAACAAGGAGATAAATTTTCAAACTCAACAAGCCACAATGCAGGACAGAAAACAGTTTTTCACCTATAAGGTTATTCCCATGGAACTACTAACCTGCTAAAGCCAATAAAACCATCAGGGAAAATGGGAGGACCTTTAACAAGCCACTGGCTTCTTGTCTTCGAGGCCATGTAAATTCAGTAAATTATTATGTTATATATATATTCATTAGAATACTGGATGTTACAAAATTTTTAACTGCCAGCAAAAGGTTAAAAATCGATTTAGAATGAAACCTTTAAATACAAGAACAATGAAAGTTTGATTTTTCACCAAGCACCAGTCTCCACCTCTTTCACATCTCTAGATACTGGTCTACCACAGTGTTGTGTCAATACTGAGGTAATAAGAGATGAACAACCATTTTAAGTGAAGAATCCGTTTGGTAAGAGGGGGGAAATGATTATAATGATTGGTAAGAGGGGGGAAATTCGTTTCCCAGCCGACATGTTGAGCAGGACAGATGACTGATAAATTCACCTGGTGAGCAGGAAGTGATTGATTAAATAAATCATGTCTAAGCTTAATTGGTGAAAAGTAGTTGAATAGCTCACCATCTGATTGGTTGTGGGTTCAATTTCCAGGCAGAGCAAGACATCTGGGCATGCTTCCTGACAACTGATGCCTCTGTTCACCAAGCAATAGATATGGGTAGGTACCTAGTAATAAATCAACTTTTTGCGAGTTGCATCCTACAGAATGGGCAGTTTCTGGGTAGAAGAATCTCAATATGCTTAACAGGCTTCATGTTCCTGACAATGGATAACCATATCCAAGGTAACATGAAAGGAATTAAACCTTAAACAAAATATACTTGAATAGCAAAGGAAGTACGGTACTGTAAATGAACAAATCCACAAGGGCTGTGACGAGGGTTCTAATCTACGTCCGAGAGGATCCCAGACGCTGCCTTAATCAACTGAGCTATGACATAATTAAAAACATGGGTTATGACATGGCTTCAGGTTCAAACCCTCGTCACGGCCCTTGTGGATTTCTTCATTTGATGCATCACGCTAATGTGATTTCTGTGTGCTCAGTACTATATTTTAAGCTTCTGTACATTCAAACAAAAATCTCTGCATTTTAGTGATAATTTGGGGTATAATAGTATTACTATAATTAAAATTTTCTAGAGCTCCTAGATGTGTTGGCCAGCATATGGGTGGTGACACGTAAACAGGTCTACTATTGATTTGGTATGTTCTGGAATCTAGTTGATTTGACTCCATTCCTATAAAATCTTCTATGTTTTTAGTAGTCACCTATAAGATGAGTTAATTCCCTGTACAGTATATGGAGACTCAATTGGAATTCACCAAGGGACAAATATATGTACAACAAAAGTGTATTAAAGAAATAACTTTATTTGAGGAAGTGAAAGTACCTTCCATTTTATTAATACTTAAAAATATTCAATTTTGGAATGAAAACATTGATTACAGCCCTACACATGATGCCATGTTTTTAATAAATAATAATAAAAAATTTAGTACAAAACAAAACCCTCATTAGCCAAAATGCAAAATAATACATTTGCATTTCCTCTACCAGTATTTCTCTATTTCTGGTGTTTTTTGCATACTGTATTTCTAAAAAAGATACAATAAGACTTTTTTTTTTACATTTTTGTAAAAAAAATAATGTGAAATAACATTATCAAAATGTTTGTGATTTAGTAAATATCACAGATACTGTATAATGGCACTACTCAAAAAGCTTTGGAATTATTCATTGTCAGCGTCTTTAATTTGGTTCATTAGTTTCAAGATAAACATTTTGTCATTAGGTGAATATCGAGAAAGAAACCTGTCTTCCATATAAACCAGCTCTGTGTAAGTTAAATTAGGCTTCTGCTCCTTGTTTCTCTCCCATTCTATAGCAACCATGTCCACCAGGCTTTCCAAAAGGAACATTTTTGCCATATCTTCTGATGTCAAATCAAGTGAAGCAATTTTCACACCATACTGCAAGCCATCTGCATTTGTACAGAGCCAGGCTTCCAAGCAAGACTGTTTATATTCAGGAGTGTGCTTATTTGACCACATTTGTGGATGGTGTGGCTCATTGTTAAGATGTAAATCACAAGACTTACGCCATATTGAATAATTTATACTATGAATCCACTTAAAGGTGTAGCCTATACTCTGTGACAAAGCAAACTTCGTAAGGTCATGGCGTTCTATAACTTCTTCAGGCAATTCTGACATAAAGCGAGATAGTCGCCGATAACTCTGCTGGATCCAGTAACGATGACATTTCACCTGTGAAAAATGTTCCTGCAGATTGAAATCCATCCATAGTAACTGCAGTATTACATCATCTTTGATCAGTATACTTGGTGTGTGTATTGTAGCATTTCCTTGCTTATCTTCTTGATTAGTAGTAATCATTATCCATTTCAAATGGCCATCATTGATGAATTTGTCTTCAATAGCCCTTTTAAGGATTACTTCCTCAGCATGCTTCCTAAAATGACTGTCCCAATGTTCCATGACAACTTTACCAATCATTATGAGGAAAGCAGTGTTGTGTGCTTTCCTTACCATTTCTTCAGTTATTACATCATCGTCTGCTTCATTTTTCTTGTTCTCATCTTCTTTTTTAGCTAAATTAATAAGTCTTTTCACTTCGTATTTCTTCTGCAATTCTGTCTGGCATACAAAAATTGCTCGCCTGTGTTCGGGCACCGTGGTCATGAGGATTTTCTCCCTCTCTGCTAAGGCAACAGACTTCCAATTATCATCAGATGCTACAATTTGTTCTATTAAATTACTTATTATCTGATGCTGCTTCTTGGAATATCGCTTCAAGAATTTGTCATCCATGTAAACAAGTTCCCTAATGCTAATATCCAACTGTTGCCCCTTCTTTCTTTCCCATTCAACACCAACCATATCTATGAAACTTTCTAGTAAGAAAGGTTCAGCTAAATCTTCAGAATTCAGATCAAGATTTGCAATATCAAGACCATATGGACACCCATTGTGGAAATCACACACATCTTTCATCCAATGTTCTAATTTCTTCATTTTCTCCTCAGGAGTATATAATTTACTCCAAGTTTGTGGATGATGAGGTTCATTGTGCAAGTGTAGATCACAAGCCGTCTTCCATATTTCACTATAAAGATTATGTACCCATTTTAAAGTGTAGCCTATTGCTTGACTAAAAGCAAATTTACTAAGATCATGTCGTTCAATTATTTCAGCAGGGAGGCTTGGTACAAAACCTTTCAAACGATCATAACTTCTTTGAATCCACATGCGATGACTTCTCACTTGATCATAATGCTCCTTTATATTGAATCTATTCCATATTAATTCAATTATAGCATTATCTTCAGTTTCTATCAGCCATCCATTATCACTATCATTGTCATCATCAGGTGTATCAAGCACATGAACCCACTTGAGATGATCCTCTTTCAGGTAATTTTCTTCTACTGCTTTCTGTAGGATCAGTTTCTCAGCATACCGACGCATTTGTGGAGACCAAATTTCCATTATCAATTTTGCTACAGCAATTGGTAGAGCTGCCTTTTCAGCTTTGAATTTTCTCTTCATAATAATTTCATCACTTTCAACCTCTAGAGCAGAATCAACACCTTGGTTACCTCCATGTCTTCTAAATTTATGGTGATTTTTAAGTCGTACTTCTTCCATAGCTTTAGAGGTTTCAATTAGTTTGGAACCATCTACCTTCATATTTTCAGGTAAAGTACACAAAATAAGTTCTGTAGTACAAGATTCCATTATTGTGCTTTTTTTTCTGACAATGCTGAAATTATATAAAATTTATAAGGTAAATTTAAGTAAAGTAAACCACACAGGACATATAATGTAATAAATGTTAAAGAAAATAAATAAAAGTTAAATATTAAATCTGGTAATTAGGGGCTGATAAAGAAATAGCAATACTTCAATCTAAAAGAATGAATATTTTAAATACTGCACTTCATTTTCAAAATTCTCACATTCTTCATAAATGGCAGGCCTCGGCAAGAGTGAAAGGGAAAAAGTGACTTTTGATTTTGTAGTGTTACTGGTAGTAGTTCTTGACTCTTGATCCTTATTGAAGATAAAAATTTAAACTATCTTTCAAGTTCTATCCATATACTGTAGACATTCTTGGCTATAGGAAAACAGCTGTAGGAAAGATCCTTGGCTCTCAGGATCTTTAAAATAAGGAAATAATTCTATGGAAGATCCTTGGCTCTCAGAATCCTCAGTACAGTACTCTCAGAAATAATTATGGGTTAGACCCTTGGCTCTCAGGATCTAACAAACTTAAAATACAGCTATGAGGAATATCCTTGGCTCTCAGGATCCTCTTAGACTTTTAGAAGATAATGATGAGAACAATTGGCACTGAGGATCTGTTGTTCATGTCATAAAGAATATTTCTTGCTCTGAAGTCTCTAACCTGCAAAGGAAAACAATTCACATTAGATTACAGGTACTTCATTTATAATTTCACCAAGCTTCAGAATAGTACCTCTTGTACTTAAACATGACTGTTATTGGTAGCATACCAATCCTACACAATTGGAGACATTTAAGGGTTAACACATTGCAAAAATTCTAGAAACTATATGCAAGGGACTAGAGTACCTGTGTGTATTTAGCAAGTAAATGTACAGACTACTGTTTTGTCAATCTTGCTTGGCATCCCAATAGGTGGTTTTTGGCAAAATAGGATCATATAGGCCCCTTCCTAGAAATTCCCATCCCAAATCTTTATCCCTTCCATATGAAATAGTCATAATGGCTTAGTTCTTTCTCCTGATAGTTCCCTTCTTTTCCAATTTATCACAAGGGTGGAAAAACTGTCCACTGGGTCATCAAAAAAGGTCTTCCATGATGGCTGGGAGGGATAAGGTACCAAGTAATAGAAATTAAGTACATACGTATTGCTTTTTCTACTTGAAAACAAACTGATACAAATATTTTTTCAGTAATGTTTTAAATTTATTTTTTTTCCTGTGATGTATAAAAATACTACAACTATTCATCTGGAAAAAATCCTCAGGAATGAAATGAGGGGACCTTTAACAAGCTGGTATTTTCATGTCTGTTGAGACCACTAAAGATGGTCTTCAGATAAATGAATTTCTTTACATTGTTTTATATGAGCTAATTCATCCTGCCAAAAACAAAATTATAGTACTGTACTGCATTTATGGAAGCCGTTTTCACTAACAGGTAAACTGGTCCAGAAAATGGTTCTGTTTGACTAACAAATGTTAACAATGATTGATATTTAGCTACATTATGTAATTTAAGGTTAGTTTAATTTGACTTCCATTATGTTAGCTTTGAGTATATAAATGCTTCAAATGCTAAGCATGTTAGATGTTTTGAAAGACTATCAATTAATCATAAAAAAACAGCACTGATAACCCAGTGTACATTCTTGTACAGTACTGTATATACATACATAAAAGATCATCTAGTGTGATATCAAAATTTTCATTTTAGTTAAAATGTTGGAATAGAACTTAAAACTCACCATGTCACACTATCTTCTGATAACTATTTAAATGATTAAATGTGATTTCCTCCCTGTCAACATTATCTGCATTCAATGTTACACCAATTTAATGAACTGTGATAATAATAAACCCCTTATCAAACTATTGTATGTGGATAAAAGTCACATCATACACAAAACTGTTTGCCAATCAATTTTAAAACCTACCTAACCTTACCCAACCCAACCTAATCAAGCCTAATCTAATCAAATACATCTATTTATTTATTTATATATACTGTATATATATATTGTACAAGAAGGTACATTGGGATTATGAGGATACATAGCATAGTAATTACATTCTTGTAAAGCCACTAGTACGTGCAGCGTTTCGGGCAGGTCCTTAATCTAAGAAAATTTTAAGTAGGTAAATACTAGGAAAATTTATAAAAATGATAACAGGTACATAGCAAGAAAAAAAAATCCTAGCCTAATGATAGATAGATAGATATATAGATATAGATATAGATATAGATATATATATATATATTTATTTTACCTGAATTTACCCGAGGGCCACTAACACTCCAGTGGCCTCGAGAAGGACAGGAAGCCGGCGCTTTTTTATTTATTTAGGCACACAAAAGTACATTGGGTTGTGAGAGTACACACTTTAGTGACCAAGTGTAACATTCTTGCAAAGCCACTAACACATAGCATTTCGGCTCTGGCAATCTGAAAACAAGCTTTGTTCAACATTCTTGTGTATGCTTTGACCATACCCCTGCATGCTAAATGTTTTAATGGATTTTCAAGAATGTACCCCATGTTAAGTTTATCCACATGAATTAATTTGTAAATCCCGGTAGTACGGCTGGGTTCGTTCTCGACTCACATTCAAGATTTTTGGGTTCGAATTCCGCATATATAAATAAAAATTAATAAAAAAAAATGTGCACTAGGGTGTGACAACATTGTTTTAGTTGAGAGGTAACTATTGGAGGCTTCAGGAGTTCAGAGTATAAATCAATTGAACATTCTCCGACTTGGTCCCTATTCCCTGGATGATCATAAACTTATTTAGATTCACATTAATACTGATGACATGTGTGTCTTTATGTGTTACTAATTAATTCCTCACACAGGATATTTACGCAGAACCTTATCAGGCCATCACTAGGAAAAATTGTCTGACCACCCACTGAAAAGCTCAATACGCCATAAATAAGAATGTTACTTCAATTAACTATGTCTGTTTATAGTCTGGAGATTCCCAAGAGTCAAAATATGTAATTTAACTTACAGTTAGCAGGAGATGGCGGTGCACCACCTCACCCTCACGTCCACTGCGTCACTGAGCTCCTCTTGTCTGGCGATAGGTTGTGTTCACACGTCTAAAACGTTTAGGGCCAGAGAAGCGGTCCACAGTATGTCAACAGCGTTATTCCCGCCACGTCATTTATTTATTTATATATTTATTTATTTATTTATATATATACAAGAAGGTACATTGGGTTTGTGAGAATACATTGAATAGTACAGTATTTACAATCTTGTAAAGCCACTAGTACGTGCAGGGTTTCGGGCAGGTCCTTAATCTAACAGATAATATTAAGTAGGTAATTTAACCTACTTAATACATAACGACTTATATTGAATTTTGTAACTAGCTCATCAAGATTGTAACTTGCTTAGCTAAATGAACTATGGGGTTCAGTCCCTGAGCCCATGCATTATGTGCCTCTGTAACCCTTTCCACTACCGCCCACAAGAAGGGTATGGGGTACATAATAAATGAACTAAACTAACTCATAAACAAACCTGACTAAGCCTATCCTATTATAACGTAGCCTAACCTATCCTATCATAACATTACCTTTACCTAGCTTTACCTACCAAAAATAGTAGAGAACGTTGTATTTTATATATAACGTGATATATGTGACGTGGAACCTTTTCGAAGACTATACATACTGGTTTATAGTGTTGCAGTACGTACATCCTGTACAATATATCCTTCTATACGTGTCATTTTGACCTTGATATGGAATATTTTTGGATCCAGGAAGTTTATTAAAGTTATTGAGGCCAAAACAACCATATGACCGACAATCTCCGTGCAGTGGTCACCCATTCAGTTACTGGGCAAGCCCAAGTATGCTGCTCAACTGAATTTATCGACTTTCCAGTGGATGATCAGGATAAGACCCATTGAACGTATTGCCTGAATTTACCTCGAGGCCACCATTTCTAATGACCTCAACGTGAACAGGAAGCTATGACATGCAGCTTGTCAAAGGTCCCCCCTATTACTCTAAAGATTTTTTCTACCTATATATAAAATTTATGAAAAATATAAAAGCAGTTTGCCTTCATATATATAGACGTACTCCCAGAGAAAAAAGTGACTAACAAACTGTACCGTTTACATATTCCCATAATATAGGCCTATCTATATAAATCAACTGCCGCTAGGAAACGAACTTCCCGTTATTTCCTCTTAATGTCCACTTTTTGTAACCAATCAGACATGTAACTTAACTATGTAACCATGTACAATAAAGTGTACAACAAATAAAAAAGGCGTGGTAGAAGTGAACTCTCATACGTACTTAGAGTTAAATGGTACGTTTTTCTCTGAATGCTCTATATTTCCTTCTCCGAGGCTATATATGGGTCCCTACAATTGCACCAGAAGTGTCAGTCAGTACAATCAGTGTGGTCTAATGGTTAAGGTACCAGGTACGCAAAGGTGCATAGTGCTCCTGGCTGTCTGGGTTCGAATCCTTCTGGGGGGGTGTTTTCAGTTGCATATTGGCTTGGGACCCATTCAAGCTTGTTTGCATATACACACACACACACACACACACACACACACACACACACACACACACACACACACACATATATATATATATATATATATATATATATATATATATATATATATATATATATATATGTCGTACCTAGTAGCCAGTAGTAGCCATATATATATATATATATATATATATATATATATATATATATATATATATATATATATATATATATATATATATAATGTCGTACCTAGTAGCCAGAACGCACTTCTCAGCCTACTATGCAAGGCCCGATTTGCCTAATAAGCCAAGTTTTCATGAATTAATTGTTTTTCGGCCACCTAACCTACCTAACCTAACTTTTCGGCTACCAAACCCAACCTAACCTATAAAGATAGGTTAGGTTAGGTTAGGTAGGGTTGGTTAGGTTCGATCATATATCTACGTTAATTTTAACACCAATAAAAAAAAATTGACCTCATACATAATGAAATGGGTAGCTTTATCATTTCATCAGAAAAAATTAGAGAACATATATTAATTCAGGAAAACTTGTCTTATTAGGCAAATCGGGCCTTGCATAGTAGGCTGAGAAGTGCGTTCTGGCTACTAGGTACGACATTATATATATATATATATATATATATATATATATATATATATATATATATATATATATATATATACACACACACACACACACACACACACACACACACACACACATTCATACGTAGTATGTCATACATACATACTACGACTCATATTCGGGGATCTCGGGTGGGCCAGAAATGGTTGGACATGTTACCTTTCACCTAATAATTATCATAACCTTTCACCCTATAATTATAATTAATAATTGATTGTGTCGGGGGACAGGCAGCCAGTGTATTTATACGCGCTAGGTTTATATTGAGGTCCCTCCCCCCATGGTTACATTACAGAATACCCCCTTCCCCAAGGAGGCAACCTCACAGTAAGCTGACTAACTCCTAGTACCTACTTACTGCTAGGTGAACAGGTGCATTAGGTGATAGGAAATGGACCCAACCCTTTCTGCCCCACCTGGAATATACCCAAATGCAGTATAATTTTGTAGCCATATATATACCCGAGCATGTGCTTGAGGCTTCATGGACGGATCAAATTTTTATGTTTTCTAAACCGCTATCTAGAAAACATCACTGAATCACTGATAACAACCTTATCACTACAAGCAGGATAACATTATCTTTATGTAAATCCCAAATATTATCATATCAACTGTCAATCAACTAATGTACAGGTTCATGAGCCTACTGGGCTCTATCATATCTACACTTGAAACTGTGTATGGAGTCAGCCTCCACCACATCACTGCCTAATGCATTCCATTTGTTAACCACTCTGACACTAAAAAAAGTTCTTTCTAACATTTCTGTGGCTCATTTGGGCACTCAGTTTCCATCTGTGTCCCCTAGTGTTTGCCCCTTGTGTTAAACAGCCTGTGTGTGTGTGTATGTGTCTGTGTATGTATGTGTGTGTGTACATATCCACATATGTGGTCACATATCACAAATGTATACATACATACATACATATATATATACATATATGTCGTACCTAATAGCCAGAACGCACTTCTCGGCCTACTGTCCAAGGCCCGATTTGCCTAATAAGCCAAGTTTTCCTGAATTAATATATTTTCTCTAACTTTTTTCTTATGAAATGATAAAGCTACCCATTACATTACGAATGAGGTCAATTTTTTTTTATTGGAGTTAAAATTAACGTAGATATATGACCGAACCTTACCAACCCTACCTAACCTAACCTATCTTTATAGGTTAGGTAGCCGAAAATGTTAGGTTAGGTTAGGTAGGTTAGGTAGACGAAAAACAATTAATTCATGAAAACTTGGCTTATTAGGCAAATTGGGCCTTGAATAGTAGGCATAGAAGTGAGTTCTGGCTACTAGGTACGACATATATATATACATATATATAAAAGATACAAGCTTATCAGATAAAGAAATGGCCTTCGATGTTATCTGGGTCGCTGCCTCCTGCAAGCCTGCCACGCAGGTCACCTTGAGGTGCTTCGGCTGCGGTAACTTTTTTTTTTTTTTTTTTTTTTTTTTGAGATATATACAAGAGTTGTTACATTCTTGTACAGCCACTAGTACGCATAGCGTTTCGGGCAGGTCCCTGGAATACGATCCTCTGCCGCGAAGAATCGTGTTTTCATCCAAGTACACATTTTACTGTTGCGTTAAACAGAGGCTACAGTTAAGGAATTGCGCCCAGTAAATCCTCCCCGGCCAGGATACGAACCCATGACATAGCGCTCGCGGAACGCCAGGCGAGTGTCTTACCACTACACCACGGAGACTGTAAACTCTCTCAATTGTTATCCTGTGGGCTGGAGTGGAGAAGGTTACAGAGGCACTTACGGGGCTCACGAACTGATCCCCAAAAAATCAATGAGCTAACCAAGCTATAGTCTTCATAAGCTAGTTACATGGTTTAACAATATATATTATATATATATATATATATATATATATATATATATATATATATATATATATATATATATATATATATATATATATATATATATATATATATATATATATATATATTGGCACTTTCTGAGGTGTTCACCATCTTACAGTAGCCAAAAACTAAGTGAGTATGACCGGTTACTGAAATCAATGCTAGAAAAAGCCCTTAACCTCTCTCTCGATGACCTACAGTGGAAACAAGCCTCTCTTCCCGTAAGACTTGGGGGCCTCGGAGTTCGAACAGCAACGCAAATCGCTGTTCCAGCCTTCCTGTCCTCCTTATCAGCATCCGACGACCTTGTGAAGGAAATTCTACCTGCCCACTTACATCAGCTGGCAGGTGTACATGATCCCAATTTTACACGCTGTGCCACAGAGTGGGCCTCTCGTGCAGGCCAATCACCTCAACCACCATCCCTAAAAGCCCACAAGCAATCCAGCTGGGATGGTCCCATTGTAGACCAAGTTGCTGCAGAGTGCCTGGGTGCTGCAACAACACAACACGACATTGCTCGCCTCACAGCAGTAGCAGCACCACATGCAGGGGATTTCCTGTTAGCAACCCCAATGTCGGCAACTGGCACGCGTCTCACACCACACGCCCTCCGAATTGCTGTGGCCCTCCGCCTTGCTGCCCCAATCCACACCAGATATAGGTGTATTTGCGGCGAGGTGGTGGCTGACAGGTACGGCCACCATGGCCTACTCTGCCAAAGCACAGGGGGATGGCACTCGAGGCACAGTGAAGTTAACGACATCATCAAGAGGAGCCTCACCACAGCTGAAAGAGAGCCCCGTTACCTAACGCCCCGTAACTCTGATGCTCTTATTGGTTGCCCGGATGGTATCACAGTGAACCCCTGGAAGAATGGCAAGCAGTTGGTATGGGACTACACGTGCGTATCAACCCTGGCTAACACCTACATTAACCTCAGTGTTGCACAACCAGGTGGCGCTGCCACCCACAGGGAAGCAGCCAAATCCCGTAAGTATAGAGAACTGGATCACCTCTACAATTTTGTCCCCATTGCTTCTGAGACACTCGCGCCTGGGGTAAAAGTGCTACCAGTTTTTTGAAGGAACTGGGTTCTAGGCTCATTGAAACAACAAGGGACCCGAGAGCTGCAAGCTTTCTTTTCCAGCGCCTCAGTGTGGCGATACAGAGGGGAAATGCGCACTGCATCCAGGGTTCCTGCCCGCCATCTGAGGAGCTGGAGGAACTCGACAACCTATGACAATCATCTTTGTAACCCATATGTAACTCCTTTTTTGTAACAAAGTTCAAATAAAGTAAATATATATGTGTACATACAAAAGAATGGGGGTGGTAGGAGAAGATAATATTAGTGTTCAGTGAGAAACCACAAGGTCTCCTCTGAATACTTTTTATTTTCTTCTCCGAGGCTATGGGTCCCCACATTGGCACCAGAGGTGGTTATGTTGGACATTGTCTTCTGTGTTGGCATCGATATGTTCTTGTCTTGTCCTTACTCTCATGGTGGGTAGAGTAAATAGTTCCGTGATTTGGGTGTTCATGGTAGGTCGCTCTATTCGTATGTGAATTGCCTCAAGAAGTGACGCCAAGCACTAGAAACTAATACGCCACACGGCAAAGCTACGCACAAAGGGAGAGGCAGAAGCACATAATAGAACAGGGCAAACAAACAGCCAGAAGGGCACACAGCATGTCATAGAGCAAATACACAAGAAATCAGAGCACATACTTGGCCGGGAACTTGGCCCGCGGGAATCTTACATTGAACGCCTCCCAGAGCACCCATTGCCAAGGGTCTCGTCCATCCACCGGGGACGCCATAACATCCGGAACCGGGGCAACAAACACCTGCAAACTGGGGACCCAGATGGTAGAACTCATGAGGCGAGAAGTAGCTACTCGCCCCCACAGGAAGAGAACTTGCCCCCCACGAAAGCACTCCGGTCCGTCAGACAGCAGTAACTCGGCAATCTTCGACCAGTGACCCGGTGGCATCACAGACGCCGGCAACACGTCCCCCAGGGCCCCAACGCGCACCCACACCACAGGGGTACCCGCGGCCCCGGGCACACCACCAGACGACAGCAGGGAACCCGGACGGCGCGCATCCTTCCGTAACGTCACCACCAGGCCACGCCCAGCACCAGAGTCCACACCATCCCTGGCAGCGGAAGCCACCACCCCCCACTGTGGAGTCCCCCGGCGGAGAAAGAACCGAAGGCACGTCCGAGACACAGGCACCAGTACCGGCAGGCACATGGACCTCCGCCACCACGAACCGCGGAGACATCGACGCATCCGTATCAACACTGTCAACATCCGAAGCCCCACAGTCACTGAAGTCACCAACGTCGGCCCAGGAAGAAGACGAACGCCGGGAACGTTTGGACACCGGCCGGATATCGTCCGAGCCGGTAAGTGACCCAGAAACACGGGTACCACGAGCCGAAGGAACCGACGCCAGGACGGCAGCAGCCTCTACCACAAGGGGAACCGGGCCACACACAGCAGGAGGCTCCGCAGTCACCCCAGCACCAAGCACATCCGGGACCCGAGTCACGGACACAGGGCCAGGCGCAGCATCAGAAGACGAGGGAGAAGACAGCGACGTCACACAGGGAGCTCCAGGAAGGCCCACGGGAGCAGCTGGGACAGCGACAGGATCAGGCAGACCAACCGACGGTACCTCAAGAACCGGAGGAGGGACGGCAACAACCGGAGGAACGGCAGGCGCCGCCGGGGAAGCTGCAGCAGCAGACGGGACGCGCACCACCTCATTAACATCACCGGAGACTGCCTCCAGAGGGAGCGGCGGGAAATCCTCGTCGCGGAACAAGTTGACAGGAGCAGCAGGGGCCTCAGAGCACCCGGCAGCCTGATGTCCCAACAGGCCACACCGGAAACAGGTACGAGGCTGCCGGGCATAATACACCCGGACGTAGTACCCCATAAGCCGGACAGAAGAAGGTATATCCGACCGCAGGCGCATCCCCAACGTGCGAATGTTTGTACGCCTCCCAGCATACCGCCCCGAGGAGAGCGTGTTCACCCGCACGCTGACAACAGTACCAAAACCCCCGAAGTAACGCCGGAGGAGGTCATCAGGGAATTCCAGGGGCGCACCATGGATACTGACATAAGTCAGGGCACCACTGCGGTCCGAAATCGCCACAGAGCCGGCATCGTCTGGCAACGGCAACGTACGCCCCCCGTACCGACGGAGGAAGTCCCGGTACTCGTCCTCCCCCACGAACTTAATAACAACCCGATGGACCGTAACTAGCTCCACACCGTAAACAGCTTCCACCGGGACACGAAGCATGTCATACATCACCATCTCGATGGTCGGATAACCAGCCTTACAAGTGAACTCCAGGCCCACGGAGTTCACACGCTGAACAGGAGGAAGATGGCCCCCCATGTCAGAACTGCCACGTCAACGCAGCCAGGCAGGCAACAAAACTGGTAGGGCAGGGACGCCCACACCACCTGGCGACCAAAACAGCAAACAACTCCAACAGCCACGGAGGGTCGAGAAACGTCCTCACTCCACGGCTGCTAACAGTCGACTCTAACATACTGTGTATTATGCATCCGCCAAATCCCTTGTTTATGAATGACAAGCGGTTTACACACGACTCACAACTGATGACGTCAGAACACTTCCGGAACAAGTGCTTCACTGACGAATTTTGTTCGAACCACAACGCTGTAAATGCTTCACCCACGTACTATAAATACAAATAATCGCCAACAGAACCTAAACACCTAACCTAACCTAACCATGGCCTAAATATACACAGTATGCTAATGTATAATAATATTAATTTATATTTGAGAACATTCCTGTTTTGAATGAGCAGAATGTTAAAATTGATGAATGCGTCTTTGGGGTCGACCGCTGGATGGAATGGACTTGGTCTGAGGACGGGTCGTTTGCCAGATCAACAACTACCTTTCAATGAATTGATTAAAACTGTAATCGTAAAACAATATTTAAATCAAAGATTAATGATTTGTTCTAATAAAAAAAAGTATTTTTGTAAGATTTATTTATTTTAATGCATATAGGTATGATCTCATTCTTAAACAATTACAATGACTGTGTTTGAAATAGTTTTTGCAGGGCTATAATATATGTCATTGACATTACTGTTTTATAATTAACACATGGAGGGGAAAATCCTTCCGGAAATAAAATGAACTGCCCCAAAATGAACACAGGGATTGTATATTTTTGCTGTTCAACATTATGGAGTATGACATCATCCTTAGACTGAAGGATTATAACATACAAACACCTCATAGGCATATATGAATACAAAATCTTTTAAAGAGTAAAAAATAGACACCATCTAGGAACCATTCGTGACCCGTTACAACACATAGGGTGGAGGCACACTGTGTTGCAGGGACAGCCAAGCTATCTAATGTATTGCTTTAACTGTCTCTCTCTGCTGATGCACACTGTGTTGCAGGGACAGCCAAGCCGTCCAAGTGTGTTGCCTGGCCCGCTAATCCCTGCTATGGTGGTGGTGTGTGTTGCAGGGACCGCCGTGCCTCCAAAACAAGGGAAATTGGACTGCTGGTGTTTAGGAATAAAAGACATCTGGATGGACTAACAACAATCATAATACGAGACCATCAGTGCCTCCTTTCACATGTTACAACGGATATGAAAACCTTAAATGTACCAAAATCCTGAGTCTTTTTTTTTATTTAATCTTTCAAGCGTTTGCAAGGAAATCCAGCTGACGAGTCTTCATTGTGATGGATACGACCAACACTTGACTCCACAGATATAATTCCCGAGGAACACGGAATCAACAAGGATAGTTCTTAACAATGTACACTAACGACTCACTTCGGGGAGTCTGTCTGCATTAGTGTTGTGGTGGTCTGGTTATCGTTTTTATTCTTTCGTCTAATGCCTGGGGTGGCCACCCGAAGGCCTTTCCTCATGGAGGGGGTCTTGTGAAGGGGGTCTTGGGCTGCTGGTTCGCAGACTACGCTGCAGACCTCAATGCTGGTGCCACTGCTGCTCAGGCTCGACGCTGACGGGCTGGGGGACGCACCAGGGGCTTTTGCCATTAGTGGTTTGGGTTTGTCATAAGCAGAAGTTTGTTTTAACACACCTTTCAGTGGCTTATCGTAAGTTTTTTCAGGTTCAGGGGTGACCACGGGCTGAGTCACATTATCTTTTTTTATTGATTTTCTACGTTTTATTGTTCCAGTGTTTTCACTCTGCTCATAAACTGTCCCTGTGTCGGAGCCCGAGGTAGTGGAGGACTGTTGGCGTAGGGCCATGGTGCGTGTAGCAGCGGGTGGTGGTGCAGGACAGACAGTACCTCGGGGAGCACTTCTGGTGGTGCTGGATGCACCAACAAATGCTGGTGCTGTAGCAGCAGCCAATGCAGTATGTGCTGCTGCCGTGACTGCTGCTGCAGCACTAGGCGTTGATGTATAAGAAGTACTGCCGTCGTAAGTCGGGCGTGCCTGTGTTTTCTCTGGTTCAGTCGCACCATCTCCTGGAGAATGGCTATTAGTCTTGCCGAAGGTGGCCATTTGCACGCGAGGCACTCCGTACGGCCCGAATGTCTTTTGCTCTCCAGGCTGTGGTGAAGTTGGTTTTTGGGAAGAGAGGATATTATTATCTTTGTAGGTGTATGTTTGCTCATAAGTTGGGTATCCACCATACATGTGTCCGCCCCCTGGACGGCCGTAGTCCGCTACAGCCACAGGCTTTCCATAATCCATGCCAATAGTTGGCCGTCCATATTCACCTGATGGCCCTGAACGGACATAGTCTACTGAGGCGCTGGTATGTCCATAATCTGGAGTTCCGTCACTCTTACGAGGGCGTGATCTACTTACTGTAGCTGTGGCAGCGGGCGCCCCGTACATGGAACCTGGCGGCGGTGCATCTGTACCCATTAAGTAAATGTTATCTATCGCACTAAGATCACACGAGTCCGTAGAAACATCTCTACGTGGATTTCTCTTTTTCCGGTAAACAACGTGTATTCTGTTCTCCAGTTCTTGTATATCTCGAGCAGTGAGGGAGGTCGACCGGGGAGGGGGAGGAGGTCTCATCTTTGGTAAGGTTGCAGCGTGGATACCTTCAGGTCGGTCTGGCCTCACTTTTGGGTAATTGAGTTTTTGCGTTGCTACGAGTGCCTGCTGTCTATCAGCAGGGCCATGTTGGTCATCCCGGCCCTCAGGATCATCTCTCTCAGTCATCGTCATCTCCCGAGTTATGCCCCAAGTGTACTCAGCTGTTGGTAAACTCTGGCAACTCGCATTCTTTTTAAGACGTTTTTCTGATGAAGTGCTTTTGATGGAGGAATGTGATGTAGTGCTCTTGACAGATGCATGGGAGGTGTTGCTCTTGATGGATGCCTTAGATGTAATGGAGGTGGTGCTCTTGGTGAGGGCCTTGGGGGGCATCCTGGTGCCCAGAGTGTTAAAAGTAACGGTTGGGTTCTTGCGGGATGAGGAACGCGAGGGTCCTCTCGCGTCAGCGTGTATGACAACTTCAGCTGTCTTAGCGATCTCGCTGTAGATGGAGTTCTCACTCTTGTGTCTCCTGTGTCCACTCTTAGGACTTTTCGCACCCTTAAGAGAGCCCTTGGGAGTCACTTGCTTAGAGGATGTATCGTGTGCAGCCTGTGAATGTTTCCTCTTCATGCTCGATTCTCTGGACACTGCTGATGCATGAGACACAGTGTCCGAATGTATCTCATCACTCACTTCGTAGTCACTTCTGCTACCTTTCTTCTTATGCGACTTGTCCTTTGCAGTGTTTGAAGCGGTGACGTCAGAGACTTTCTCGTCGGAATCCTCAGCTTTACGCGGCCGAAGAGTTTTCCTCAGTAGCCTTGACTGGTGTCTGATCTTGTCCCTCTGGTAATACACACCTCCCATGGCACAGCAGTTGATGAAAAGAATGGCAATTCCCACCAAAATGACGATGCTGATAGGCGTTCCTGCAGCAGCTGGTGGTGGCGGCGGTGGAGGTGGTGGTGCCGGGTACATGGGCAAGACTGTGGGCGGCAAGTCTGGGTAATCTGGGTATGTCCCAGGATAATACTCTGTCGGGAATTTGCTCTTTTTATCCTTGTCAGGGTCTGGGGTCGGCTGTTGTGTGGAGGTCATCAGTCTAGGTGATCTCTGTGGAAAGATGTAACAAACATGAGATTAAAATGTTAAAAAAATTATTCATTTATTTGTAGAATTAAAAAAGTAATATGTAAGATGTTTTGATGCCAAGGAATATCCCAAATTCCTACCCATGTTCCAAAGATAAGAAAGGTTTGTTCTTTAGATGAATGGTCTCAAGAATGACTGAATCTACGAGCGATGACTGAGGGAACTGAATCTTATCACTCGGAATGCGAGAAGGACCAGAAAGGACATTCAAAATATTAAGGATAATTTAAAATTAGTAGTAAAAATGAGAAACACTTAGTCACAAACATGTCAGAAATACCTGCATAAATTGAGGCGTTGCGAACAATACATACTTGGGTTAGATAAAGAAGTTACTGACTCAGTGTACACATGGGTACATATAACCAAGTACATCAAGGTGTGTATATCGAGCTGAATACATAAAGAATGAAGGAAACTACAGAAGGCCTAGTGACCCATACAAGACAGCTCCTATTGACCCATACAAGGTAGCTCCTATTGACCCATACTAGGTAGCTCCTATTGACCCATACAAGGCAGCTCCTATTGACCCATACAAGGTAGCTCCTATTGACCCATATATGGCAGCTCCTATTGACCCATACAAGGCAGCTCCTATTGACCCATATATGGCAGCTCCTATTGACCCATATATGGTAGCTCCTATAGACCCATACAAGACAGCTCCTATTGACCCATATATGGCAGCTCCTATTGACCCATCCAAGGCTGCTTTTATTGTCCATACGAGACAGCTCCTATTTATATCCACCATTGATACAAGTGCCAAAACAAATATACTATTCTAAGCTGCCGTCAAGTTTGAGTAAAATAAAGAATTTAAGGAAATAATTTAGTGCCATCTAAAGCCAAATTAAGTTTGAACAGCAATTACCATAACTTTGTAAACTTGATGTTCAAGGCATATTGAAGAATAGTCAGGAAGCCTGATTAAAGAAAGGGGAAATGTGTTCCAGTGGACAAACCGTGCTCGACTAACGTTATATTAACACTGGATCAACATTAGCAACATTGGTTCAAATATTATATCAACATGATTAATTTTCAATGAACATTATAAACGTTATATCTATATTATCAATATTGGAACATTGTTAATTGTTAATTCATTGTTACATTATGGTAGCCTGATCAGGTTTGGGTGGAGGATGCTCTCCAAAGCTCCCAAAGAGCTCTTCAGAGCTCCCAAGAGCGCTCAAGAGCCTTCCACAGCTCAATGTGTACTGGAAAAAAGTTTAATAGACAGAGCTCTGCTCATAACAATTACTGTCCATAACCCATTTACTGTCCATAACCCATTTACTGTTCCAAAGCCAAATAAAACGTCTAAGTTTCAACTACAAAACTTTGGCCAGGCTTTATCAAAGCTTTCCCCAGCAACTACTTACGAAACCTTTACATCTTTCATAAATTATGATGACTTTGTTTACATTTATTAAGCTCCGGAGGACAACGAGGGTTGTTTATAACAATAATAACCTTGGGTTGTGAAGTTTCAAAGCTCGTAATCTGTTTAATAAATGTAAACAAAGTCGCTATGTTGAAGGAAAGATGTACAGGTTACGTCAGTGGTTACGTAAATGGTCGATGAAGCCTGTCTCAGGTTTGCCAGAGTAGGGTCTAAGTCCTGGTGAAAGTATGTACCCCATCTACGTCATCGCTACCCTATGAACCACCCTATCCTAACCCAACCTAACGAAAATAAGTGATACAATTTTGTGCTTTATATATATATATGGTGTGCAGGCGGCGTGTGACGTCACCATAACGCTGACGTCGGCATAGGTTGGAGACTACTGGTTTACAATGGGGACGACTACTAGTTTACAATGGGGGACGACTACTGGTTTACAATGGGGACGACTACTGGTTTACAATGGGGACGACTACTGGTTTACAATGGAGGACAACTACTGGTTTACAATGGGGACGACTACTAGTTTACAATGGGGGACGACTACTGGTTTACAATGGAGGACAACTACTGGTTTACAATGGGGACGACTACTAGTTTACAATGGGGGACGACTACTGGTTTACAATGGGGACGACTACTGGTTTACAATGGGGACGACTACTGGTTTACAATGGGGGACGACTACTGGTTTACAATGGGGGACGACTACTAGTTTACAATGGGGGACGACTACTGGTTTACAATGGGGACGACTACTAGTTTACAATGGGGACGACTACTGGTTTACAATGGGGGACGACTACTGGTTTACAATGGGGACGACTACTGGTTTACAATGGGGGACGACTACTGGTTTACAATGGGGACGACTACTAGTTTACAATGGGGGACGACTACTGGTTTACAATGGGGACGACTACTAGTTTACAATGGGGACGACTACTGGTTTACAATGGGGGACGACTACTGGTTTACAATGGGGACGACTACTGGTTTACAATGGGGGACGACTACTGGTTTACAATGGGGACGACTACTAGTTTACAATGGGGGACGACTACTGGTTTACAATGGGGACGACTACTGGTTTACAATGGGGGACGACTACTGGTTTACAATGGGGACGACTACTAGTTTACAATGGGGGACGACTACTGGTTTACAATGGGGACGACTACTAGTTTACAATGGGGGACGACTACTGGTTTACAATGGGGACGACTACTGGTTTACAATAAGGGACGACTACTGGTTTACAATGGGGACGACTACTGGTTTACAATGGGGACGACTACTGGTTTACCGTGGGGACGACTACTGGTTTACAATGGGGGACGACTACTAGTTTACAATGGGGGACGACTACTAGTTTACAATGGGGGACGACTACTGGTTTACAATGGGGACGACTACTGGTTTACAATGGGGGACGACTACTGGTTTACAATGGGGACGACTACTGGTTTACAATGGGAATGACTACTGGTTTACAATGGAGGACGACTACTGGTTTACAATGGGAATGACTACTGGTTTACCGTGGGGACGAGGACGATGTCTGTGGGGCCTGTGTACGGGGGCCTGTTGCTCGGGTCCGTGGGGATGCGAGTCGACCTGATGAGGTTGGGGATGAGATGGTTCCAGAGGGCGAGTGGATGGGCCCTGTAGTGGTTCTTGGTCACCACCTGCATGTCTGCCGCCAGGGAGAGTGGTGGCGTCAGTCACAATGTTACACTCCTCCACAATACTCTACATTACTCATTTCAAAATCCAGATAGGAAAAAATTCCTCATCAATAATGTGTGTGGACGTTTGACAAGCCGCCGGCTTCATGTCCACATCGAACCTACTGAAGCTAGTAACCCCCAGGGTTAGGGGGGGATCTTATCCCCCGTCGAGGCCACTTGAGAGTGTAGCCTTCAGGTAAACTCCGGTGAAAAACATCTCCACTATATATAAAATACTAAATTCTAGACAACAGAATACAATATATAGCACAAGTAATAACCTCCGTAACAGAACAAAATCAGTATTAACAATACATTAGTGTTATGTAATACAATATGATGAACTCAGTGTAAAGCAGTTGATTTGAAACTTCAAGGTTAGATATATATAAAGAATATACAATATATACACTCAGCTGATTAAGTCTATTGCAAGTACATGTTAAACATCTGTTCTAAATGTATCAATTTTTATGGAACCTGAGCATGAAAAGATAAGATTCCTAGGTAAAGTAATTATGAGGATATGACTCTAATCCAGTATGACTATATATCACTGCGAAGGAATATGAGGACAAGGAGCTGGGATATGAGGACAAGGGCTGGCATACGAGGACAAGGGCTGAGATATGAGGACAAGGGCTGGCATATAAGGACAAGGGCTGAGATATGAGGACAAGGGCTAGCATATGAGGGCAAGGGGTTGGGATATGAGGACAAGGGCTGGGATATGAGGGCAAGGGGTTGGGATATTAGGGTAATGACTTAGGACATGACAAATATTGTAGGCAGTATTTTATTCTGCATCCAACCTACGCAGAAATGCGTAAACACCATTTACGTCTCCCCCCCCCCACCTTTGGCGTCTCCTTTTTGGGTTAATAAAGAAACTTAACAAAATGATCCTTTATTGCAGCCCTTGTTGCTCAAGTATTACCTTTATTAAGTCTAACGAGCAGATTAACGAAGAAAAGGACCTAGGAGTTAGGATCCACCAGTCACTGAAAGTCGCACAACAAGTGGGATCTGCAGTGATAAGAGAGCCAAACAATCCCCAGGAATAATCAAGCGAATATTGGGCTTCCAGGAAAAGAAACTGGTTATGCAGACGAGGAGTCACAATAACGTGGCTGAAATATGTTGACCAAACCACACATTAGAAAGTGAACGGACGACGACGTTTCGGTCGATTATCACTCAAGTCACAATCGACTTGAGAATGGTCCAGGACGGACCGAAACGTCGTCCCTTCACTTTCTAGTGTGTGGTTTGGTCAACAAACTGGTTATCCAACGGTACAAAGCTCTGGTGCGCCCCAAGCTGTGCAACTTTATCCTAGCAACGAGACCACTTTAAAAAGGACATATCTGCTTTGGAGAAAGATCAACACAGAGCGACAAAAATCCTCTCGGAACTAAGTCAACTCTCACACCAGGAACGGTTGAGGGTCTCAGTATTAACAACACTGCAGACCAAACATGATAGGTCTCATCTCATGGAAACTTGTCAAATACTGAACTGGTTGGAGGATATTAATCCAGATCACTTCTTTAACATGTTCAATATATCTCACACAAGGGGCACCAGCTAGAAGCGTAATAAGCTATAATGTAGGACAGTAAACAGATAGTTTTTACACCCATTGGTGTTATAAATCCATAAATCGTCAACCCGCCCAAGCTGTAAATGCCAAAGCATTATTTCAGTTTAACAATCAGCTGGAAAGAAGTCGTTGGCTTCCTGCCCCCATCGAGGCCACTAAAGATGGTGGCCCTCAAGTTTATTCAGGAATATTCCTTTGATAGACATGATAGAGCTCACACCTGGTTCAATTAAATTCAAACCCAACTAAAATATAGAATAGAAAAAAGATTAATCTTGCAAAGGGTTATTAACATGTCTATCACCTGTATACTTCGATGTCAGGACAGTGTTGTCGTTCAGATTACATATAACACAGTTATTAATAAGTTTCCTATACCAAGTGGCCACCAGCTAAATGTCTACTTTGCTGTGTCTGTTTTTATCCAGTTATCTGTACTGCGTAATTTCCGTTTCCTTCGTTACATAGCGCTAGTTTACCTATGTGTAGGTACTGTTGGAGCTGCTTCTCATATGGCGGCCACAGAGTCTTCATGTTCTCCTCCCAGTTGAGGTCAGCACCTGGGTTCTTGTACCGCTGTGGGGTCGGCAGGTTGGGGTTCCTGGTGGGGTTACACACAATAGGATGAACACGGATTGATAGGTAACCTACAGTCACTTATCCCATCAAACTTAAAAAAAAAAACTTAATTATTTTAAGATATGTTCGAAACGGGGTGCAATCAGCGGCTGGATATGATATAAAATTTGTATACCAACTGTTTAACCACTGTAACACGCTCCTGAGTATATATTAAAAATTACAATTATTATTATTATTAATAGGGCAGGAAATAAAAACAAATGTTAAACAGAGAAGAGCTTCGGGAAAATTGCAAAGGAGGGTCATTTTTGACGCCATGCCAGGTATATATGTATACATATATATATATATATATATATATATATATATATATATATATATATATATATATATATATATATATATATATATATATGCGTATAAGAAATAATGTATCTGTTTGTTCGTCCAAGATTTTATTGGAGGCCATAAGTTTGAAGGTAGCCTCACGAAACTTTGCATGATAGGTGATCTGAGGTACGGGACAGATATAGATGGTCGGGTCGAGCCCCATGTCCAGTCTTTACATGAAATGACAAATTACACTAATTTCCCATCTCGCTAAAAAAAATCAATCCTCAATAAGATATATCTAGCATATTAAATGTTAGTTTTTCTTATGTTTAGAAGAATCTAACATTAAATAATAATAATAATAATAATAATTTTTATTTAGGTAATGTACATACATAAAGAGATTTTACAAAGTTTGTTGGCTTTAAAGATAGAGCTAGTACATACAATGCCTAAAGCCACTATTACGCAAAGCGTTTCGGGCAGGAAAAACATTAATGACTAAAGCTTAAAACTAATGGGCTAATTTAATAAAACTAATTTATTAAAACTAATAAATATACACGATGAATCTTAGTGTGGATGATATTTAGTGAAAATGATTACAGAGATGAAGGAGAAAGTGGTGAAGAGAAGGGAAGGTGGTAAACAGTAAGAAAGTCGGTGAATGGCAGGGAAGGTGTTGAGTGGAAAGGAACAAAACAAAGCAAAAGTGGCCAATTAAACAAAAGTCTCTAGTTAATGCTTAACTATATCGAGGCAGAGAACTGTAGTTTTCTTTGTATTACTACAAATGTCATAGAAAATATGAACACAGGTGGTATTTGATGGTAAACATTAATATTACAACACATTCCGCTCCATGCACCTAATTGCCCGTTATACAGGATATAATTACAATAATATTCAGATAAATAACGTATAAAAGACGAGAGCAAATAACGAATTAGAAAAGACACATTCCGACAACAGGCGAATTCGATTATATGGTCAATCCCAGCATAGAATATGACCTTATTGCACAAAAATATAACTACATCAATTAGTGCTTAATATCCAGGAAATATTGTGAAACGGTAATGGAATCAAACTCACATCCCAGTACGTCTCAGACACTTGCACTACGGGCTACAGGGACATAAGTTCGATCCCATTAAATGGATTCAACATCTCTAAATGAATCACGTTTCCGTTCACCTAGTAGTAAATAGGTACCCGGGAGTTAGGGAATTTTTTGGGTTTCATCCTGGGGAATATCAGATATATCATTCATCATATGAAACAATGAGGCAAATCTCATATATTTGCATCCAGCCAAAACGTCACCCATTCATCTGAAAGGCGAACACAGGCGCCATTTTCCTTACCCGGTCCTGGCAAAGTTGGTCCACTGAGTCATGACGAGCTCGGAGAGGAAGACCTCGTCCAGGGTGTAGTTCAGACCGAAGTGGTTGAAGCCTCCAACCAGGGGAGCGCCGAAGACGTAGGCCAGCTCCTCCCCGTGCACCGTTCCCTGTGACTGAACACAAGGACATCGTCAGGAGACAAAGACATACCGCAATGATTATGTGGCCCTTGGAAGAATTATGTGGATACACTAAAAGTTAGGACATTGGGACAGGCTGAGAGTTAGGACATGGAGACAGGCTGAGAGTTAGGACATGGGAACAGGCTGAAAGCTAGGGCATAGGGACAGGACAGGATCACAGGACAGGATCACAAACTAGCATGAGCTGAGGTAAACAATGACTTGGTTTTCACCCAAATCGGCTTAACTGTTCATGCGTTAGAGTGGTCACAGACTCATGCACTCACGCATACACAGACTCATTGTAATCCATGTAGAAGCAGAACCCGTACGGAGTAGAACCCATGCAGAAGCAAAGAAACTCACGAAGAATCAAAGTTACTCATGCTAACTCGTTACTCATAAGAAAAATAACCCATACAGAAGCTGGTAATATAGAATGAACCCCAAGAGAACCCACAGGCAACCCAAACGGCCGGGCTTCAACCCAACACTAACCACAGGGTAGTCTCCGTAGACACTCTGGTGGTTGAAGACATAGAAGAAACTCTTCTGGTTGATATTGGAGTGGAGATCTGCCATATGAAGAACCGGGGCGGTGATCTGTGCATCACTCAGGATCTGCAGCGTCTGATCCCTGATGGCTCGTTCGTCGTCCTGGGGAGTGTGGCTCCAGTTGGTGTACTCGTTCAGGACCGCTAGGTAGATCTGCGACGCCTGGGGGAGATGGAATGGTGTTGGTGCAGTGTGAGAATGGGTGTTGGGGACAGGGGTGTGTTGGATGTTGGAGACGGGTGTGTGCTGGGTGTTGGGGACAGGGGTATGTTGGGTGTTGGAGACGGGTGTGTGCTGGGTGTTGGGTGTTGGGGACAGGGGTGTGTTGGGTGTTGGAGACGGGTGTGTGCTGGGTGTTGGGGACAGGGGTGTGTTGGGTGTTGGAGACGGGTGTGTGCTGGGTGTTGGGGACAGGGGTGTGTTGGGTGTTGGAGACGGGTGTGTGCTCGGTGTTGGGTGTTGGAGACGGGTGTGTGCTGGGTGTTGGGGACAGGGGTATGTTGGGTGTTGGAGACGGGTGTGTGCTGGGTGTTGGGTGTTGGGGACAGGGGTGTGTTGGGTGTTGGAGACGGGTGTGTGCTGGGTGTTGGGTGTTGGAGACGGGTGTGTGCTGGGTGTTGGGGACAGGGGTGTGTTGGGTGTTGGAGACGGGTGTGTGTTGGGTGTTGGGAAATGGGTGTGTGGCAGGAGTGTGCATAGTGTAGCACGAGCTAGTGGTTAATGATGGAACTCTTCTGACACTAAAGCAGCTATCGTTGATTCCTTAATTACCTTTAATTCACAGCTCTGTTCCCCAGAGGTAATGATCAGGAGAAAGCATTAAAACTCTATGAGTCTTAGAGAAGTTCTCTTATCCCAGCTATTTGTCCTCCTGCCCTAGCGCCTCGTCCTCCGATACCAGATACTTCTCCTATCAGTTCCTTATTTTCCTCTCCCAGATCCGCGTCCTCCTATTCCAGGTTCATGGCTTCGTATCCCAGGTTCTTGTTCACCTCTCCCAGCTCCACCTATCTTATTACCATGGATAAATTACCTGAAATCCTTGCACTGTACCCACATTTTGCTTCCAGTAGATGAACGACATATGAGATTCAGAAACAAGTAGTGTATTGTGAGGACTAATAATAAACAGAAGCTCCCCTATGACTCTGTAATATCCCCATTGGCCAAACTATTATGTATTAACGATAAAACCTACCATTAATGTATGATGACTTACTGTAAATATGTAGCTCTTGTAATAGCACTTTCTCTGTAACTAGCTGACATTGTATCTATAAGGTGTGAAGGATTGAAGAAATTGTTTATGTAATAATCTAAGATGAGGTCTGATAAAGACCTTTTGTGCCCACTGTAATGCTTTTGCGCTACCGCTCACAGGATGAGTATGGGGTGCACAATAAACTAGCCGCCTTCGGCGGCAACAATCAAAATCTCCCAGCTCCTTGTCCCCTCCCTATCCCAGTTCTTACCCTGTACTTCTATTCCCTATTCCCTTACCCTGTACTAATATTCCCTTCCATGTGCTATATAGTCATACTGACAGAGTGTGCTCCTGATAATATCCTTATCCTGTAATTTATTTCATCATTCAATGATTACTAAAAATTGATTTTAATGTTGACAAATAAAGTTAAGCACAAAATAAAGCGTAACTTCAGAAAGAGGTGACACCCAATAAATCTACTGTGTATTGAGCAAAATTGTGTATTGAGCGAAATTAATTGTATATTGAGAAAAACTGAATTTATATTGAACAATCTGGAGGCCGCAAATAACCTGCTCAGGAAATACCTGCACGGCGGAAAACAGTGGATGAAAAAGAAAGAGTTGGCAAAGTTTGGCTTAAGGACTATCAGTCGCGGTACGGTTATTAAAGCCATCACAATAACTGGCTTTAACCAACCAGCAAGTTTACTCTTGTGGAGATGAAACTGTCTTTGTCCACATATTCCTTCCTTACTTTCACGTTCTGTTTACTGTTTTCTCTTCCTTCCTTCTTCTCCTCCCGCTCCTCTTCCTCCTCTTCTTCCACCTCCTCCTTATCCTCCTTCTTCCTACCCTCCTCCTCCTCCTCAGGGCCAAGGCGTGCACAATTTCCCGGCCATTTCGCCATTCTCAGCTTCATTTCCGAGTGATTGTTGGAAAGTTCAGTTGGGTGCATCGACTCAGCGCCTTCTCCCAGCGCCTCTCGTTAGTGTCTTCCCTCAGCGCCTCCCCTCAGCGCTGCACGCTCCACCAACCACTTCGTACAGCTGGATATTCTTATGTGAAAATGTGTGAATTTCCTCACAACACTTTTATCATTGTTTACACGACGCAGTAACTACTCTGCCACAGTAACCACTCAAGAGGCTCGCGAAATTGACATACTGTCCGTTTTCTGTTTTGGGTCCTCTGGTTAGGTAAAGGCACTTTAGTACGATAGTTTCTTGACGTTGGGAAACTTTAGGGGGGGGGGGGGTGCGGACACAGTAACCCACCGCCACTGAACACCAATCATGAAGGCGCAAGACCTTCCCATCAGAGACTTAACTACAGTAACTTGGCTCATCCAACTCCCCCCCTGATAATTATCCCAGGTAACTTAGTGACACAGGCCCAGTAACTTATTGACTCATCCCCAGTAACTTATTGACTCATCCCCCAGTAACTTATTGACTCATCCCCCAGTAACTTATTGACTCATCCCCAGTAACTTATTGACTCATCCCCCAGTAACTTATTGACTCATCCCCAGTAACTTATTGACTCAATTCTAGTAACTTAGATAAGTAGCTTACCTATAGTTAATGTTGTTGAGTCATGGATGACAAAGTCTGGTTTCTTAGTGGCCGGAAGAGGAAGTGTTTAGGCTTACCAAGGTACCCCAAGCCAACGAGTCACCTCCTCGACCCAAGACACAAACCACAACAGATGTGTGACTCACCGGTACCTATTTAATTCTAGGTGAATACAGACATTGGGTATAGAGACACGTTGCCAAAATGTCTTGTTCTGGCCGGGAATCGAACCCGGTCCGAGCGATTGTAGCTATTGAATGGCAACTGAAGGAGGCGACTGATGTCCGACTAACGGCTTCCACCACGCCCACGCCTACCCCCTACGCCCACCCCTACGCCCACGCCCACGCCCACCTCCACCCCCCCGCCCCCGCCCAAGGGGGAAATATTACAGTATTTCACCATTAGCTGATACTCAAAATTTCTTGAAAGTCTTATCATAAAAAATGCGATTATATTTTTATTTGTTTAAGGGATATTCCTGAGCGGGCCCTAAGTCTCTGGCTGGCCCGCTAAGACTGTTTAAGTCTTAGCGGGCCTCAGACGCCTATAAGAATGTTTAAGTCTTATAGGCGTCTGAGGAGTGTTTATGACTCGTATGTTGCTTTCAGGGAATAGATCCCGGATCATCAATAGCATTACGCCTAAACATTGTAAATTTTTACGCATTTTCAATGTTTCGTAAATACTGCCGTATTTTTCGTTAAATTGACTTATTTTTCGTTACTTAATTGACTTATAATTCTGCTCAGTTATATCGAAGCACATTGTTTGTTAGTTAAGTTAACACAGACCAGCAACACCTGCAACACAGCTTAACAACACCTGCAACACAGACTTACAACATCTGCAAGAGACTAACAACATTTGCAACACAGACTAACAACACCTGCAACACAGACTTACAACATCTGCAAGAGACTAACAACATTTGCAACACAGACTAACAACACCTGCAACAGACTAACAACACATGCAACAGACCAACAACACCTGCAACAGACCAACAACACCTGCAACACAGACCAACAACACCTGCAACAGACCAACAACACCTGCAACACAGACCAACAACACCTGCCACTACCTTACACATCTCATTATAATCTGTTTGTAATCTTGAGTTGTGTGAGGTGTGAGTAACTTTGTGTAATACCCTGATGTTCCCGCCATGAATGAGGGCCGTCACTCTCATTAGTGTTCCCGCCATGAGTGAGGGCCGTCACTCTCATTAGTGTTCCCGCCATGAGTGAGGGCCGTCACTCTCATTAGTGTTCCCGCCATGAATGAGGGCCGTCACTCTCATTAGTGTTCCCGCCATGAGTGAGGGCCGTCACTCTCATTAGTGTTCCCGCCATGAGTGAGGGCCGTCACTCTCATTAGTGTTCCCGCCATGAATGAGGGCCGTCACTCTCATTAGTGTTCCCGCCGTGAGTGAGGGCCGTCACTCTCATTAGTGTTCCCGCCGTGAGTGAGGGCCGTCACTCTCATTAGTGTTCCCGCCATGAGTGAGGGCCGTCACTCTCATTAGTGTTCCTGCCGTGAGTGAGGGCCGTCACTCTCTTTAGTGTTCCTGGCATGAGTGAGGGCCGTCACTCTCATTAGTGTTCCTGCCGTGAGTGAGAGCCGTCACTCTCATTAGTGTTCCTGGCATGAGTGAGGGCCGTCACTCTCATTAGTGTTCCCGCCATGAGTGAGGGCCGTCACTCTCATTAGTGTTCCTGCCGTGAGTGAGGGCCGTCACTCTCATTAGTGTTCCTGGCATGAGTGAGGGCCGTCACTCTCATTAGTGTTCCTGCCGTGAGTGAGGGCCGTCACTCTCATTAGTGTTCCCGCCATGAGTGAGGGCCGTCACTCTCATTAGTGTTCCTGCCGTGAGTGAGAGCCGTCACTCTCATTAGTGTTCCTGCCGTGAGTGAGGGCCGTCACTCTCATTAGTGTTCCTGGCATGAGTGAGGGCCGTCACTCTCATTAGTGTTCCTGCCGTGAGTGAGGGCCGTCACTCTCATTAGTGTTCCTGGCATGAGTGAGGGCCGTCACTCTCATTAGTGTTCCTGCCGTGAGTGAGGGCCGTCACTCTCATTAGTGTTCCTGCCGTGAGTGAGGGCCGTCACTCTCATTAGTGTTCCTGGCATGAGTGAGGGCCGTCACTCTCATTAGTGTTCCTGCCGTGAGTGAGGGCCGTCACTCTCATTAGTGTTCCTGGCATGAGTGAGGGCCGTCACTCTCATTAGTGTTCCTGCCGTGAGTGAGGGCCGTCACTCTCATTAGTGTTCCTGGCATGAGTGAGGGCCGTCACTCTCATTAGTGTTCCTGCCGTGAGTGAGGGCCGTCACTCTCATTAGTGTTCCCGCCATGAGTGAGGGGCCGGGTACCTCA